AAACTTTATAGTTTTTTTTTAAAAAGGGACGTTCATGAGCGAAACAACGATATGTTATTGGATTTACATGGCGCGTATACATTCCCCTTCCCTTTGTCCATTCCTTCATTCCTCTTGTCTTCAGCAAGCCCTAGCTTCTGACTAATGACCTGTAAGGGCCTTAACCTGTCGGTCCAGCGAGCACAGGATCGGCCTCGTCTTTACCGGTCACTACAAGTTTCATGTTTATAGTACAATTTGAATCTGAATGTTAAATTAAAACCTGCTAGCTTGTGAATAGGTTCTTTTAATATGAATCCTAAGGATAAGGAAATTCCATTTGTGTCTTGTGAATTAGTTCATTACAGTCATATTTCTAGTAAGTACTAATTTTGATATCAATTTTGAGAAATAATTTTTTTATTGTATAATTTGTATGATAAATTATTAACTTGAAATAAAGCTTAATTCTTCAATATATTTATTTTATTTTCATACAGTTAACAGCATGAACTTAAATATTACTAGTTCCAAAGTTCTTCATAAATAAATAATGATAAAAACAAAAGTACTGATCAGTTTAATGAGTGATATATCAATTCTTAGTAAATTAATTAAGGAATAAAAAAAGCATAAAAATATTCAAATAACCTCCCTCATTTTAATACAGGCCCTTAACTCCCCAGTCGTCTATCCAGACGCACCATATTCTTCCATTTCAGTCACTGTTTTTAAAGATGACTTAGATTCTAAATTTCATAGGTTTATCACAGACCTTCCTCTCTAAGCCTTCATAATTTCTGTCAAAGATTAAGGCGGATGGAGGAAGGCAATCCTCATTCAATTAAGAGATGTTTTGACCTCAAACCAGCTTTAGTGGTCTTGGCTTTGTATGCAGACCAGAGTCCTGCTGGAACACAAGTGATGTCCTGCAAATAGGGTGCTGGACATGTCTTTGACAAGGCGATACAAAACCGTCTCTTGTAACTTAGCACTGGTTTTGACCCCCTTTTCGAAAAAATTAACCTCAAACAAACCATACTGATGATGGATGATGTCCATGTTGCACCCTTGGAACTTTATTTTCAGCTTCTTCAAATCTTAGTAATTATAATTCTGTTTATTGTACTTCTCTTCAATATCGAAATATTTTTCGTCGTAAAGAGATATCACGGTATCGTTTTCGCTACTTAAACAAACCATCTCTTAAGCCTTTTGCTTTTGCGAGCTTAAGTGCCCACTCTTTATTCAAGACCAAGATTTCATTTAAAACCTTTTACTGTTTTCCTATGACACATCTCAAATCCATCAATTCTGTTTTCGGACAGGATTTCTTACTATCCCCTTGATAGCTTTGATTACTGCTGGTGTTCTTGCGAGGTCACAGTTCTTTTCTTGTCTCAAATGAGACAGGTACCTATCAATAGTACATTACACAAACTAACGTTATATTCAAATTTTAGCAACTGAAAATTACTCGGCAGTGTCACACGTGCAACGCAATAACAAATTGTTTACTTTCAATTCCTCCATCGTGAAAAATTACGGAAAGTTATTGTTTTTGTTTTAAAACAATAATCAAATAAAATAGAATGCAATAATTTTTTTATAAAATCCTCTCGAAATTAGAAATAATTTAGTGAAGAACTTTGGGTACGTATATAGGTACTTAACCACACTCAATAATAATTATTTTTTCTTGTTACAAAGGCGTAAAACCTTTTTAGATTTAAAAAACAACTTAATATTAAAAAGAAAATAAAACAAAAAAAATACCTTTTTAGCGTGAATATATTGCTTTATTAACCAAAACGAATATTTTGGAGTGCAATAGTTCACGGGCTGTTGACAATCGTTGAACTTGGCTATGTGCCAAGCATAACTATTGCAACAGAGGTTTTGGAGACTTTGAGAGGATTTCGTATAATCTTGATATGTTTATATTATTCTCTATTTGCCAAGTGCTGTTTTAGCATTTTATAAACCTAAACATACTAGCTTGCCATTGCGTAACAGAATTGGGTCATATCTGCATCGTTATTGCAACGAGTCGTAAATGTTATTGAAAAAACTCTTAATATAAGGTAAATCGGGTAACGTAAATTGTGATCCAAATATTAATATGTAATGTTAATAATATAACATTTCCATGTGCAGATGACTCATTAAGGATGATTGTTGTTTAGTTTGATAAATAGTAAAAGTCCAAATTCTTAATAGTATTGTTTGTTTACACAAAGTAATTATCAATTATTATAAATGACCTCCTCCGCGATTATAAAACAGTCAGTACATTCGTAACTATACTCACAGCAGTAAGTTGTAAGCGAATGGCTTTTGTTATGAATTAATATTGTAATAAGTGTGTGTTGTGTATACCGTGTAAATAATAAACTTTTGATATAATATTAAATGTATATTTAATCAAGTCTCCCAAACATTACGCCCATGTAAAATATATATTTATAATGTGTTTTATTATATCTGTTACAATTAGCTTTAAGTAAAGGCAAACGCCACGAACACAAACCGTAATTCTATCCGATTAACAACCAACATAATAGCTTATAAGATTCAATATTAGATTTTATTTACTTAACCACTTATATTGATGAGCTTTGTCATTCATTAAAAAATTCATAACATATCTTTCGCCAATGAATTTTTAATTTCAAGTATTTTATTACTGCATTTATACAATTTTGATAATTGCAAACAACAAAGAGAACTATAGGTACTATTGTAGTGTCTTATATGTGACATGTTCCACAGAAATAAAATGCCTTAAATTGATACAACTAAACATAGATTGCTTTGCTAGAGACACGGGTATAACTATACCAACTGTGTATAATCGTATTTAATACCGAATGTTCTCTTGTGAGAAAATTCCTTCACAGAACACTATTGCGTCTTAGATTATAATGGTAATATTTTTCATTTTAAATTATACTTTATATTTTTAGTTTGTACGCAATACATATAACTTTAATTATAATCAGCAATTAGCTTGATTTATTTTAAGGTTACTTTCGGATATTGCCTTTAATTTCAATTTACCAACGCCGAAAGTATGTTGTTCTAAAAGTATTATTTATATAAGCACGAAGGGGTAGGCACAGAGCAAAGATCTTCACTTGCTATGGTCCTGACATACCTCTCTCGCATTCATCCAATTTCTCATTCACCATGCATGCTCGTCGATTATGGGTACTTTTGACTTGACCCCTTTACCCCAAGAAGAAGAAGCAGAAAAAAGAAAGAAGAAGATAGAAGTTTAGTTTGAAATTAATAAAAAATACTGGATAAAAATATACTAGATGTTCAACAGGTTTATAAAATGTACAACTCCCAGGAATCGAGACGTTAACGAGTGCTATATCTGAGCGAAGTGCGAAAGTAATCCGAAAACTGGCAAATGCAGTAATATGGTCTTATGTACTTATTACAAATTGGACGTTCGATCCTCTTTACGGATCTTTAATACCCTTATAGCCGTGGAAATCTATTGGGAGCGATATAAAGCCATTGTGCTGCAGGACTTCAATCTTCGATATGATCTCTGATATGATAGCGATAGATTCTTAGGAGAATAATTTCTTTATTTTTTCTCCCATATAACATTTGAAACAAACAATACGATTACAGTTGAGATGGAATTGGGAGATTGGCTTCCAAGTTAGGTAAGCCTTCCTTCCAGCCTATCCATATCACAGGTTTAAGGTCATAGCACACATATCAACTCGGAAAGGGATCGCCGCCGTATCACCTCGAGCCGTTCAGTATTGTTTGTATGAAACTCCCTTCTGCAACGCACACTAATCGGAATCGTAACGTCATCGCCTCGCCTCGGAACAGACTCAGAACCGCGATGCGGTGCGTGGTCAACTTGCAGTTCCCACGCTTACGGCTCGTCGTCCCCGCGCTTACGGCTCGTCGTCCCCGCGTCCTTCGTCCACCATTGCCCCTGTCCACTCCTACGACACTCCTCTATTCATATTGTGTACCCAATATCTTTTTCTTAGATTTTTGCGATTTTCTTTTTACTCTTCATCAAGTGGTAGCAATCTCACGTATTGTAAACCGGGACATAACCGTGCGCTACACTTAACTGATCTGGTGCCAACCAGATCAAACAGTGGTCGGCGAGCCGTAAGCGCGGTGTTCCCTAGCCGTAGCCGAGTTGACGTACAGGAGCTGCTGATACGCTTTGGCTACGTGCATACGTTAGGTTGACGCCTGGTTGACGGCGAGGCGAAAGGTGATACGGTGACTATCCCTTTCCGAGTTGATATGTCTGCTGTGACCTTTAGGTTATCACGGGTTCCACCGAAAAGTCATAATGAGTCATAACAAAACATGTATATGTGTGTGTGCATGCACATGAATCCAAAAAATATTAATAGTAACTTTACTTACCTGCTTTTAATATCCATGTACCTACTCTATCATATTTATTTTTCAGTTATGTATTTCTGTAGTAATCTAATTAACAGTTTTGTTTTTTTTTAACTTGTTTGCCTACTACTACTAGACTATAAGTATGAATATAATGAATGTTTAGCTGATTGATTTAAGTGATAACTAAAGTAATAATGTTTAAAACATGCGCTTGTCCGCCTCTTACGAAGTTTTCTTAACAAAAATTTTCAAAGTTTACCATTCTATATTTTACACACCAATACGGACCGCCGCTCGACTACCGCAGAGCCAGGCATTTTACTATATTTTATTACTTTCTTTGCATCACTATAATAGGGAAATCTTTTTACAACAAAAACGACACAGAAGATTGAGTATAAGTTGAACAATGGCGCCTTTTGATTAACTGATTGGTTCTACTAAAATATAGTGGTTCGTGTAGCGTCTGTAATCGTTCTAGATAATTCTTTAAACACATAAATGTGGGTCTCCGGTAATACAGACAATGCTAGTATAGTTGACCAATCACAATCAACCTCGCCAACACCTCCAGGTCATTTGTTTAGATGAATATCCCTCAGGTGTGGTGGAGGTGAGAGATGTGGGCGCGGTGGGCGGCGCTGGCGTTGGTCACGTGCGTGTGCGCCGCGCCCGCCGACCCGCCGCACGCGCTCCAGCAATGTGATACCCTGAACCTGAGGAGGCCGCCGCCGCTACCACCAGTAAGAATTTGATTTATATATATAAACTTGGAAAACGGATTGCTTATGACCCATATTGAGTTTTCATCTACGTCATTGCAACTTTCAACATCAACCGAAAGAACTACTACTATAAAAATTTCGTCGTTAGATGTCTTTAGGTTTCTTTGTGTATGACTACGCCAACCAAGTTGAGTCAATTATTGTAATGGAAATATTTTATAGAATAGCGAAAAAAATTTCTCGATGAAGGTTGAATTAGAAAACGCTCGAAAGTTTGTAGCTTGTAGCGTTTGAGGTTTTAAAAAAATTTTAAGGTTCTTACGACTCAGGCTGAAAAACATTTTTTTTAAACTATCAAGTATATATACGAAAGACAGGATTACAATTTCCTCTAAAATAAAAAAATATTAAATAGTAGATACAAAAAATTATATTCTTCGATTGATTGAAAGTTGCACGGATCTGGTAAGCGCCTTCATAAGTTCTCATGTAACTTCGGTGTGATCCTTTATACATTACATATATTCATAAGTATTTGATTGTCCTCTTTTTAACATGTGTGAATTTTGAGAGCATAAATAAAATAAGTTGTAGGTATATTTCAATTGAAAAAAATAATTTCAGAATATACGTGAATATGAGGCTGCCGTTGTCCAAATAGCCCGTGCGTTATCAGAGCTGGTAGACCAAGGCGTGGCTGATGAAGCCAGAGCTTCAGCCCTGGCTAGGGCAGCAGCCAGAACTCCTCTCCACCCACCGCCAGCAGCTGTTGCGCTTGGAGCTCCGCAATTACATCTAGGAATCTTATACATATCGGAACCAGCTCGCCTCGTTGTCTTTCAACAGAACAACTCGGTCACATTGCAGCCGTTCTGGCGTACGCTGGCTTCCGCTTGGAATGCTAGTGTTGTCATGTGGTCCAATGCTTGGTATTCCTGTGAAGGAGAGCCAGGTTGGTGGGGTGGAACGGCAGCAGCCAGGGGAGCGGGTTCCACGAGGGCAGCGGCTGCACTTTTCCGCAGTTTACCAACATTACCATGTGAAGACGCTATGAATGAGTGGCTGGGAGGCACACCACTGTGTGATACAATGACAACTGCTTGCGAGGCTCTTCCCGGAAGTAGTGACCATAAATTGGAGGTATTAATTCTTCATTCAAAAATGTATGTTATAAATAGGTATATGAGCGGCTTATGTATTTTTTACCTACCTGCTTAATTACATTTACACCAAGGCTATATGTCTCGCGTTTCCTTTACCTTTACCCTAATGGGGTCGGCACAATATATTTTCAAAACCAAGGTTATTTATCAAATTAAATGCGTATAATGGATTATATAAAAATATGGATAAGTTATAAAATTCAAATCCTAATCTATCAAAATGCACAGTGAAAGTTTTGAATATCTCACTTATTCCTTCTAAATGGTTTAACAGATCTAACTAGACTCTGATTGAAGCGTTATTTGATCAGAATATGTATAAAAATATAAAAAAATAATTATAGAAAAAGTAACGTAATACAAAAGTTTCGTCCCTTTGTTGTTGAGATCCGCGTTCTGCACGATTTGAATCGTCGTTGCTTGTACAAACATCAAAGGAGTTCCACTACTTCTCTTCTCCCCTTCTGTCTTCCCTAGTCAGTTTAATATGGGTTAAGCGGCTGTTAAATAGTCTTCTGGACAGGTGTGCCCTCCAATAGACCGCATCTCACTTAACAGTTCTGTATGAAAAAGAAATTGTTTATACAATTAATTCATTAATATTAGGTCCTTACATATGAAATTGGCGTTTTGTATGGGAGGAACAAAAAGTCGAATATTTTTAAATATAATATATTAAATTAATCAAAGTATGAACCATTGTTTTCTATGCACTTTTGCCATCTCATAGGTAGGTCATTGATCCCTTTACTAAAAAAACCAGTCGGACGGGAATCAATAAAATCTGTGAAGGCGATTTGGACTGCCCCATCAGAGTTAAATTTTTTCCCTTGCAAGAAGTTGTCCAAATTTCGAAAAAAATGGTAATCTGTTGGAGCAAGGTCCGGGGAGTACGGAGGATGTCTTAGACATTCCAATTGAAGCTCTTCTAATTTGGTAGCCATCTGATGTGCAGTGTGTGGTCTAGCGTTGTCGTGAAGTAGCAGTGGCGTGGAGCGATTGACCAGCCTAGGTTGTTTAGCCGCTAGCTTTTCCATCATGGTTTGCAATTGCTAACATTAGACATCAGCCGTAATAGTCTGGCCAGATTTGAGAAAACTGCAATGAACAATACCGGCACTAGTCCACCAAACGCTTACAAGTAACTTTTTCGGGGTTAATTTTCGCTTGGGGCAGGATTTGGCTGGCTGGCCAGGATCCAACCATTGCGCTGAGCGCTTCCGATTATCGTAAAGAATCCATTTTTCATCACAGGTAATGATTCGGTTTAAAATACCTTCATTATTGTGCCGGTTCAGTAATGTAACGCAGCAGTCGACGCGCGTTTGCCGGTTTGCTTCAGTCAATTCGTGAGGTACCCATCTTTCAAGCTTTTTAATCTTCCCAATTTGCTTCAAGTGAATCAAAACAGTTTTATCACTAACACCGCAGCCTGCAGCAAACTCGGACGTGGTTTGCGATGGATCCGTTTCCACAATAGCCTTCAATACTTCATTATCAACTTGGGTCTCAGGCCGTCCACGGGGCTTGTTCTGCAGGTCGAAATTTCCAGAACGAAAACGTTAGAACCAAACACGAACTGTGTTTTCTTTTGCAACATGACCGCCATACACATCATTCACCCTTCGAGTCGTTTCCGCAGCACTAGTGCCACGGCGGAACTCGTACTCCTAAATAATGCGATACTTTAAGTTTTCCATTTTGTAAAATGAGTGACGCAAACAGGAAAAAAACAAATGAATGACGGTCATCGAAGCACAAATACATGAGTAAATAGCTGTACAAATTTTAATTTGGAATTCTTAACCAAAGAGGAGATATTTGAGGTCAAAGTGGCCAGTACGAAATACGCCAATTTCATATGTAAGGACCTAATATCTAAGCGTATCTGATTAATTACTTTGCATGCAATGTAATATCTAAAGCATAATTTATTGTTCTTTTATATTATATTTAGTCACTGTCGCATTCGCCATATTTTAGAATATTTTTAGCTTTAAATTGACTACAATTTCTATTATATACACCACACTGGTCTTAAATGTTTGATTTATATTATATTCCGTAAAAAAATGTAATCTATGCAGTGGAACTTTCAAAATAAATAAATTTCAGTACCAATGCAAATGCCGTTCCAATCACTGGCACCAAGAGGGTGGAGGCTGGTTATCTCGTCTTAAATTAATGGAGATCGGGAAGCTGTCTTGCACGCCTTGTGGCTTCGGGAGTAACGCCACGGCCTGCTTACCAGACACCTATAGAGCAGCTTTATTAGCTGCAAATCTTACCGGCATGCTTATATGTCTCATCATTGGGCTTATTATCTTTAAGAAGAGAAAATGCAAGGTATGATTATTTTTCAGTAATTTTTCTTAGGTCTATTATTTTTTTAGCAGAAACCGTTTAGTATTTTATGATTAAGGGTTACGTGATTACATAAGTTAACATTTTTTATTTAAGACCACGTTGTTGACTTATTTTTAATTTTATAGAATTCAAGAAACCTATAACCTGTAGGAAACTTTAGGTTCAATCGAAATGCTTAAAACTTAAATAGTTTAAATTAATGTTAAATTTGAACACGTAGCATTCGTTTATTCAATTCTTGTTAACGTACCCTCAAATATAGTTAATATTTAATTTTTATTTTTATTAATAAAGGCTTGGTATGTAAATAATAAAGAGTTCTAGTTCGAATTCTGGGATAACAATAACTCAGTTAACAAGACGTCGGTTGCAGGTAGATTATTTGTTGAATGGCGCGTCTAAACGGGCCATGTTTTGCTGCAATTGATGGCTGCAACACTGTGGCCGGCAACATTGCAAACAATAGCAGCCACCCTATGCAATATTGCAGTAATGTCCCGGCCATATAGTCAAACATGTTTTGTATAGCCACATATGGCCGATGTTGCCCCGATGGGTGGCCGGACGATCGCTAGGCTATCGAATTCAACTGCAATATTAAAATAAATAAAATAAAATATGTTTATATGGAACTATACTTATTCCACGTCATAAATTTGAAGGCATCCCTACTCATCGGCAAAAAACAGAGGGTGTAGGCCGAGAGAAAAAGCCGGCGTAAAAAACTCTCGGTACTCTTTTAAAACAGCAAATCATCAAACACACTTATTTAAAACAAATATCGCAAATTGATTAGAAGTACCTGTCTAGCACTAGTCCCAGGCCCTTTTATCAACTAGATAATCGTTGATTTATAGTAAGCCTTTTTACACAGCTTTTCTTTAATACATTTTTAAATTTATTGAAAGGCAGTGATAAAAGAGCCTCTGGGATTTATTAAAGAAGAGTATCCCTTTCCCAAAAAAAAAGAATTACTAACTTTAGATAGTCTAGTACGGGGAAATTGCAGCCTGCGTTTGTTCCGTGTATTAACATTGTGCGTATGTTCTATTCTAGTAAACTTATCACTATTTTTGTATACATACATAATATTTTCATAAATATATTGCGAGGGAAAGGTAAGTATATTAATTTCCTTGAATTTATCTCTAAGAGATTCCCTACATTTTAAATTATAGATTGCACGAATAGCCCTCTTCTGCAGGATGAAAATAGTTTCGACATCAGCAGCATGACCCCATAATATAAGCCATAAGTCATTAAGCTATGAAAGTAACTAAAATAAACAAGTCTAGCTGTATCGACATCAGTTAGTGAGCGAATTTTTTTAACCGCGTAGGCTGCAGAACTAAGTCTCTTCCCATCCGTTAATATGAGGGGACCACTGAAGTTTTGAATCCATGGTGATTCCGAGAAATACAGTTGTATTCAGTCAATTCCTCACCGTTTATAATTGGTCTAGTATCCATAACCCTTGCATTTTGCACAAAATTTAATGCATTGTCTTTTTGCATTAAGTAGAAGGTTATTCAACTAAACCAATGGACAATCGAAGACAGAGCATTGTTCACATCGTCAAAATTTGTTATTTGTCGTTTGATTTTAAAAATCAAGGACTGTCATCAGCAAACAAAACTATCTGATGTTTTCTCTCTACCATGAAAGGTAGATCATTTATATAAACAAGAAAGAGGAAAGGGCCAAGAATTGAGCCCTGTGGTACCCCATATCTACTGCCGACCAGAGGACCTCTTACCATTCACTTCAACCTTCTGAGTTCTTCCGTGTAAATAGGAAGTCAGAAATTCAGTGCGGTATTCTTGATGCCATAGTGGCGGAGTTTCCCGATTAAGGTCTCGTGTTGGACACAATCAAATGCTTTGGAAAGTCGCAGAAAACACCTAAAAGCGTCATGCGACTCCTCCCAAGCCTTAACTATATATCTATATAACTCAACACCGGCATCGGCTGTCGAGCGACCCTTGGTAAAACCGAACTGATTATTATGTAATAATTTGTTTACGTTAAAATGACTTACCAGTTGATTTAATATAATTTTTTCAAATATTTTACTACAAGTGGTAGTACGGAAATTGGTCTAAAGTTACTGGGGTCGGACATACTACCTGCTTTAAATAAAGGAATAACTTTACTATGTTTCATTAGATCGGGAAACTCGCCACTTTTAATACAATTGTTGAAAATTATAGCTAGATGGGGAGCAATTACATCAATTATGCTACTAATTATTTTTACAGAAATACCCCAAAGATCGGTAGTGTTCTTAATATCTATGGTTCTAAATATCCTCACTATATCGTCGGCACCAATGGGTCGGAATGAAAAACTGACCTTGCACTCGTTTACATTATCTTTGAGCAGCATTCGGCGAGGGCGGGAGATGATTGAAGAGACTTAGTAGTCGAAATGGAATGTCAGAAAAGTACTTATCAAAAACAATCGCTATCTCTTCGTAGATTTGATTATAGTGTTATCGAACATAGTTCGATGTCTTGATTGCGTCCCTGACTCTTCCAGTTTCACTATCAATTATCTTCCAAGTCATTTTAGTATGGTACTATTTAATCTTGTTTTTGATATTTAAGGACTTGGCCGCGTAACAAACTTTCTTAAATAATTTCGAATAATTTCGAACATAAAGAATAAATTCTTCATTATGATTGTATGACTTTTCAGCGTAAAGGTCATACAACCGTTGTCTACTTTTATAAATTCCCGCTGTCGCCCAATCACTAAACGATTTACACTGCGAATGAGAGACTTTCTTTGGGGTAAAGATGGTGTTGAACTCTTTATTAATACAATCACTTAGATTGTTGTATTGTGTAATGTATTGCACAGCCAGTTCTCTTGTTGTTTCAGTCACTCTCTTTGTTATGGCATAGTGTATCCTTTTCTACGCGACATGACTTTTGCTTTGAGTGAAGTGTGCCTGTTGCTTTATTCTGTGTTTTGCGATCAGCTGTATTTGACGTTAGATTACTACGTAAAAATGACTACTTTTGACATTCTAGTTCTTGAAAAATTTATTATCAAGACTTATTTCTAGACTCAAATTGTCTACAGTTTCACGCCTATTTAAGTAAGGTCGAATCCACAATCTCTTCTTTTTCTGTTTCTTTTTTAAAACAATATAAGCTGCTGCGACAAGTGTGATTTCGTCAGCCATTGTTGCCGGTTTGTGTAGCCCGTTTAGGAGTCTGCATCATGGGCCATACTATTGCAACACATTGCCCAGCCATAGATTGTTCGGCCATTAGCTGCATTAAAATATTTTTGTAATGGCCGGGCAATTAGTGGCCAACAGTGCAGCCATCAATTGCAGCAAAACATGGCCCGTTTAGACGCGCCAGAATATTATCAAGTCAATATATTTTTCATAGTATCGAATTCAATGTTAGTCTAATGAAGTTGATATTAAAATAATATAGTTAAATAAGGCGACTAATTTTTCAGGCTGTTGCAATGGGGATGTGGACTGTTTTAGAAGTTGTTCTCCTCGGAGCAATGTTTATGTACGGCTCGGTAAGTAAGTTTGTAAAATATCAAATAATAATATCTGATAACTAATATTTCTACGCACAATTTTTAATTACGATTTAAGTGTAGAAAAAATAATGATGTTATATTTCAAATGCTCCTTTTGATCCTGCATCTTACCTATCCTAACTTACGGCTGCGAAACATGGACCACTAAGGGAGTGACAAGTCAAAAGCTTGTGACTTGCTAAGTGGTCCAAGTTTAGTGGTCCAACAGAGCCAAACGGCTTAAATAGAGATGGACAGGACACCTGCTCAGAGGCCAGAGAGCAAAATAGTCGAAAAAGTCACTCAATTGACACCTCGCTACAACACATACCGGAGGAGAGTTAGACCATGCGCGCGGTGGGCAGATGACTTTAAAAAAGCCACTGGTCCTCTGTGGCAAAGACTTGCCAGGGATAGGAAGCACTGGAAGGAGCTGGAGGAGACCTTTGTGCCACAAAGGCAAGTTGTACAAGAGGACAGCTGTGCAACAAAACCTCCTTAAAGAACTTTTCTATATATTTTTGTAAACTTTCTGTTGTATTAGTTGAAATTGAATTTCAAATGCATTTATATAAAAAGCTAGGCAAAAAAAGGTTTTGAGAAAATAAAATATACACAAAAAAAGGGTGCGTGTACTTATGTACGCGCGTAAGAATATAGTATGTATATAATAGTTATACTTCTTTGGCATTATTAAAAATAGTTTTGATTGCATGAAAATAATTAATTACAATTAAATAATCAAAGACTGGAAAAGGAGTCATTATAGTCAATAAAGTTCAGTTTACATTTGAAAAATTAAATTAATAATTATTTATTATTATTCTCTTACATTTAGTGTAACATAAATTCTATTATTATTCGAATGTTGTTTTTAAATTATGTCCAATGCCGTAGCATCTTCCGTGGGCAACTTCATTCTGTTAATTTTGTGTCACTGTGGGCGCGCATCGTATAATTTCACTCTCATGAATTTTTCATAACGCGCCTAAAGACTTCAAAAATAGAAACTTCAAAAATATTTTTTCTAAATTATCATATTTTATTAAGTACCTAAACATTTTCAGGCAGCCGCACAGTACATACCTGGGGCGCAATGGCGCTGCGTAACAGGTGCATGGCTACGAGAATTGGGCTTCGTAGCGTGCTACGGGTCCGTAGTTCTTAGATTATGGGTTCTATTAGCCGAATTTCGGACTAGGAAGGCACATAGATGGACGCCTAGAGATGCGGAGGTACATATCACAGAATATAGAAATAAAGTTGGGTTCCCTGAACTGGTTGTCTATAATGTAGGCGTTATAAAAGTTCTTATTAATTTAATTCGTGGTTATTGTAAAACTGAATTTTAACTTATACTGTATTCATTTTTTAAAGAAAATACTTTTTTAACGAATTGAAGCTATGTATTTTTGTACAGCACGCTGTAAAGCACGGGAAACGTCGAAAAAATTTAAAATTATATAAAATAATTATAAGTTTATAATAATACATAACTTTAATCCGTTAAAAAAGTGTTTTTTTTTAAATGTGTAAAAGTTATGTTAGTAAAAGACAATACTATGTATTCATTTTTACACGCTTTATATTAGCTGTATCACCTGTATGTATGTATGTATGTATGTATGTATCTCTCGATTTTGACCCACTTTAAACGGACAGATATAATTCAAACTTTGTACACTTATAAAGAATCAGCGACAATATAATAATTTCATAGGTTTATCTCGAAAAAACAATGAAATTTTTTGTCCGTATTAAGTCCACAAAGCAATACGATTAAATTGGGACAACACGTATTGCTGCTAGGACTAAAAAGTGGAAAATAAATATAGTTTAAAAAAACTATAAAACACGTTTTTAAAGCACATCAAACTAAAAAGTGAAAAATAATTCCTAATTTAGGCTGAAAATGGTAATGAACAAAAAATACAAGTATTATTGTGAAAAAGCGTGGGTTGCTCGATAGACGAAAAATATGGCACAGAGCGCCCCACGCTTTTTCACAATAATACCAGTATTTTTTGTTAATTACCATTTTCAGCCTAAATAAGGAATTATTCTATTGTTACTTTACTTGACACGCTACGATATTTCTAATCAGAAGAGTATGTATTTACATATGTTTACGTTTTTTTTCGCATAGTGAATTAAAATGTATAAATGTAATTCACATAGATAAATACCTGCATCTGCCAAAAAAATATTATTATTAATTTAGATCGATTTGTTTCAAACACACACAAAATATTCTTAACCTACATAATTAAAAATGGAAAAATAGCAAATTAAAACAAATTTAAAAAGTTTGGTCCCTGTGTCAGTGTACGACATTTAACATTTCCTCACTATATTGAGATACTTATTCGATGAGCAAAGAAAGCTCCAGCTGGGGTAACCGGTACTATCTACCAGGCGTCCACTTAAATATTTAATTAGCGCCTGTGCACTTGAACCACACGGCCCAAGAATCTCTACTCCAAAATCAAAGTTTATTATTAATTAGTTATAATAACTAGGTACTGATTAATGAGTTTTTTTAGTTAATTTTTATAGCTGCTTTGCATTTTAAACATCTGCGAAATCTATGAAGCTAATTTTATTAGTTTATCCACTCCCTTAGATCGATGTTAATGCGTTGATTATAAAAAAATATTCCAGGTCTTACGGATAGTAGCAGCCATGATGATAGGCGCTAGTTGCTATCTGGCTGCTTTCACAGCGACTTCCGCCTGCGAAGACGACATCGGGGGTGGATGCGCAAACCCCGCCTGGCATCACGTCACAGCTGGAGCCGAGATTCTGTTGCTGATTGCTGGTCTTCGGATAGCACATGCAGCGAGGAATGCCAATGTGCCCTTTCAGGTCTGATATTGTTTTCCAAACTGACTTGGTCACGGTGCTTTATCTCTAATGAGTCTTGCTGTGTATATGTTACTGTAAAAGCTCGAACTACGGTTAATCTTAAGATTTAAGTGTAAGTCTTAGGATTTACCAACATGAGTTGGTAAATGTAAGTATTTCTGAAAATACGAAGATTTTTTCGAGCTTTTACCATTCGAATTCAGTATATGCTAGGTTTTACCACTGTCAGCTGGTAGATGTTGGTTTTAGGAATAAAACAATGAGTAATTCTTATTTATTTACTTTAATGAACTATTAGACAAAACAGGTACATAGTTTTATAAAGGTATCATATGATAGTAACAAACTAATACCAACTTACTTAAATTATTTTGAAAAAAATACATAACGTATATCTCTGAATATCTCACCTACATAAGGTAACTAAGAAAACATTTCACTTGTTACAACACGGATTGCTATTGTGGCATTTAGAATTACAAAGTAATCCTGATGATCTGCAGGTGCATTTTTTTGTTTTTCAACATTTACCGTGCAATTAATGTAAATCCTAAGATTTACCAACGGAATGGTGGTAAGAGTTCGAATCGCAAACCTTTTGGGACATTTACCATTAGGAATTGGTAGATCTTAGGTTTTACTGGAATATCTTAGGATTTACTGCAGTTCGAGCTTTTACAGTAACATATACATAAATTTTCTTCCTCTAGTCTATCTCTCAAACTGTGATAGAGTGGATATACGAAAGAGCGAATGCGCAGGACGAACAGCTTTAACTGCTTATCTAAGGCACGATTTTGTCCAAACACCGCCAACTTTTAAACTTAGTGCTAACATGGTTATTTTTTCAAAGATGGCATCAAACATGATGACTAACTAGACTTATATAACTACTTTTGTGGACTCTATATTTATTTATTTGTCTTTCAATAAGGCTTGACAGTAAAATACAAAGTAGGTACTCATGTCAGAAGTGAAATTTCTTTGGCAAACTAATTTTTAAGTCTTGTTCATATTTATACAAATCTAAAAACTTTAGAGACAGTTAGATTAGGGAGGGAAACAGGAAGATATGTCAGGAATTTAATGAATTTAACTGTAATTAAACTATTAAAAGTGTCGAAAATTAATACAAATAATGCATTTAATTTTTTTAATGTACCTACTTCTTCGATAGTCAAAATGCGTAGCATTTTAATTTACAATTCGTCATTTAAGATTTCATAAATTTTCATTACGAAAATTTAATTTTAAAAATAGAATTTATATAAGGTAATTCGCCCTTCTCACTCTCTCTCAATCGGTCTCAATCGCTCTCTCCCTTTTCTTTGACAAAAACGCACATCTTCGTGACGTTCCTTAAAACTTTTACCCTCATGCGCCTAAAGAAGTTTCACTTCAAAAATACACAAGTTATAGTAGTGTCCCGAAATTGTTTCATAGATAAATATTGTTTTAATAAAAGTATGAGTAACACAACTAATAATAAAAATAAAACAATAATAGACACGAAAGTGTAAATATAGAAATTTATAGTACACAAAAGATTATAATAGCGATTTTAAAAGGCGCTTGAAAGCAGTAGGGGATCACGATAACATATCAACTTTGAAAATATAATTTATAGATATAGGCAAATCAAATGTGATCAAATATGAAAGTTTATTAGACCGAGGAGAACGGAGGTCAGCTCGCCAGTGTAAATTTTCCTAAGGGTAGTTCAATCAATAAATCGGCTTTGAATTAGCGTTAGAAGATTGTATTTCGGCAACAATTGGGTAATTTAATATAAGCAAGAACTTTCTTATTGTAATGAGCTTAAACGTCTTCAGGAACGAGGGTGGCTAGCGTCTGCCTTATGGGTAGAGGGCGCCAGTGGTCTCGCTTGGCGTCTAGCGGCGATTTCGGGGGCAGCTCCTGAGAGGTCACCCCTTGTATCAGCAGCTCGAGCTCATTTATCATCGGGCGCTGCTTTGGCCTGTGTGCTGGCACCACGTTTGTGGCATGGATATCGGGCCAGGTCGCTTGCTCAGGAAGTAAGTTATACTAAGGGGTACTGAAAAGTGACAATAAGCTTACACGGTATAAGTAAAAGAAAGTTGAATTACTCTTGTGTATAGTTAAATTTCATTCACATACAAAAGAGAAGAAAATAGTACAAATAAATACACAATATTTAACTTATGACAACGGTTTATCTATATATTGTTATTTGTTGTTATATATTGTTACTTTCATAAGGACGGTTTAACGGAGATGTTAATAGTCAATATTTGTAAACCACTTTGACTCTAGGTGTCACGTCGAGGTCCCGCAGAAGGCTTCGCCGCTGAAACCGAAGAAGAGCCCACGCCTGAAGAACTCAGGGCCGAGCTGAAAAGGCTTTACGTCCAGCTGGAGATATTACGTAATAAAACCTTGCGCACAGACAACCCTCATATCAGCAAGAGGAGAGGCGGGAGAAAACCGCCTCATCGACGATTCTCTTTACAAGTACGTTTTATTATCTACCTGAAAGAATACGTTTTATTGAGTAATACATATAAATTATGGCTTTGAAAAGCGTTATAGAAAAATAAAATAACTTGCAAATAATCATTAATTTATTTAAATAATCTATAACTTGAAAAATTTATACGCACGTTATGACACAAAACGGTCACAGATTAGTCGAATCGATCATCTAAATACTTTTGGAGTTTAAATACGTCGGAGAATGATTTTTATCGAAATATAATACATATATGTATTTGTTTAGATTTAGAATGATATGTGTTTTCAGACATGGTACGTCATATGGACTGGTAGGACGCCATCTTGGCTAGATAAGTCTTTTGGCGGGTGCTGGAAATTATGATTATTTAATTTAAATCTTTTAAAGCCAATCCTTAACAGAATTAATAACAATTTGTATACGTTGTATAGTCACTACTAAATAATGTTAAAATAAGCAGTGTTGGCCTAGTGGCTTCAGCTTGCGACTCTCATCACTAAGGTCGTGTTCGATCACCCGCTGTGCACCAATAGACATTCTTTCTATGTGTGCATTTATCACTTGCTCGTACGGTGAAGGAAAATATCGTGAGGAAACCGACATGTCTTAGACCCAAAAAGTCGACGGCGTGTGTCAGGCACAGGAGGCTGATCACCTGCTTGCCTATTAGATTTAAAAATGATCATGAAACCGATTCAGAAATCTGAGGCCCAGACCTAAAGAGGTTGTAGCGCCACTGATATATATATAAATAATGTGAAAATATATAACTACATCTTGAACTCGGATGTTGGTGCTAATTTAGACGACAATATTATAAAATAGACTAAAAGTAACGAGAAATATACATATTATTCTCTGTGTATTGAAACAATACAATAACATCTAAATTCATAGGAGAAGTAATTAAGTAAAAACCCGAAAATTTTAAAGTTTTCTTGTCAATATTCGACTAATTTTAGTATAGGTATGTAGTTCACTAAGTAGAAAAATGATGCAGCAAATCTTATCAGGCCAAACTTTAAATCCATCGAAAGACAGTTATCTCAAGATGAACAATGATGACTTTATTTTCTACTACCTACGTTAAAAATATCTAATAGTATTTGATAAGAATTGTTTGTTGTATACTAAAAGATAAAATGGAATTTGACGATTATTTTACGTTATTCTTCTTGTTCATGGTAATCGTAAATCTTTAATTGAACAATACATAGGACATATACATATCTAGTTACGTTAATAATTTATTATATATTTAATATAATATAATATATTATATGTACATAATATATTATATATTTCTATACATATAATATATATGTTAGATTTTTGTTTCATTTGTCCATCTGTTGTGCGTTGTTCTAACCTTCCCTAAACTAATCACAAAGCAGGGTTATTTTAAAAATGCGTCCTTCAAAGCTAAGTTCTCGACGTAAAAATTCTTAAAATATCCTTGACAGAATCATTAATTTGATGTTTCATATTCCATTCCGTCCCACGTAGAAAAAAGGCAGCCGAGAAAAGGTAAGGTGTTATGACATATTGAGCATGTGCACTCGGAGCACGCATGCCCCCGTTAGCCCTGCTCTCCTCGAACTGACTCCACTAAGCACTGACCTTTGCTAACCCAGTGTGTTGTGCTTTCCGATGGATACCAGCAATGTAGCACCCTTACTAATCTAAATATTAACTATTCATTAACGTACTATAAGCCTTTTTATGTTATAACGTGCATATTTCGCAAAAGAACTCGCTTTAATCTCATTAAATTAATTTAAAAAAAAGGTTGTCTGTAAAGTCGGTTTACGGACTATAGTTTAACGTGACAACGTCATAACAAAACATGTAAATTGAATCTTTTTTACTCAATTTGCACTATTTTTTGTCGATAGAAAGAAGGAGCAAATTCGGGCCAAGCGTATAAATGAGCGTAACGGGACAGTGAGCGTAACGAGACAATGAGCGTAACGGGACAATGTGTCATACTTAATCGTGCGTGCAGCCAGCGTTCATCGATTTATTAGACGTTGTCACGTCAAAAATTGTATGTGATATTAGAACCGGACCAAACATTTAATAAGGCTTATAGTATGAATAAGTCCGTACTATTATCACAAAATCTTCATAAATTTATACACGATAATTGTTTAGTTGTGGATCAATATGTTCTCCTAACATAATCTATTTTGTAATTTTCTGTTATATGGAATAAAATGTAAGCATTTTTAAATAAAATAATAGAAACTCGAATAATAGAAAGCTTTTTGTAATTGGTTGTAATCGTTGTGAGACTTTGCTTACTTTGTGCTTTCGCTTGAAAATACAACAAAATTGTATGACATTTTGGTAAAAATATGACAGTAACTACAGAACATCTCAACATTCAGTTATCATACCTCGTATTTACAGCGCTAAAAAGAAATTAATCAATCAAGGGTTTCGTGGTTAGATCGCGCCAGCAGTCTTCATTGTTAATGCTAAAGCCGTCAATTATACAATTAATAATAATAATCAGTATTACCGCTGTGCTGATTTAAACACAAGATAATATATTATATTGTGAGAGTGTTCTTAAAATATGTTATGTTGTATAGGCGCTTCAAGCACGGCGTGGGGGTAGAAACAAGGCTAGTGGTATTGAAGTTAGTGAAGCCGGGGACGCTTCAAGGACACCCGAAGACTCCGTGTGCTCAGTCGAAGGACCATCACATTTCACTGACGGTGATACTCAAGCGTGACTTAATTATTTTATTAAGATGGTATTAGTGCTACCAAAGAGTGTATAAGTTTAATTTGCATGAACAATACGTTGTTGAATTGTTAACCTTATAAAATAGCAATAATAACATTTTGTATTGAAAGACTTTTGTTAGTCGTATTTTGAACTAAATGACTTTGTTACTCTAAGGGTCGATTCGACCAAACAAGAGTAAATCTTAATCTTAGAATAAATTGTCAGTTAATCGAGAGTAAATTAATTTTACGTGTTACCAACTACAAATTCTAAGAATAGTGGGCCTATTCGGGAATTGCTACTATACCGCCGTTTCGCACGGAATAACAGCTATTCCTAGAATAATTTAATGGCGTCAGTCAGTCCAATCATCTGATTTCTGTCATTTCACAAATATGTATTCTGTGTTTTAATTTCAAGTCAACGCAACGCACTAAATTAATAGTCTGGCATTGTATAATGAAACGTTTAAACAATTTATTATTTATTTTTAGATTTTTTATTTTCTATAATATTAGAATGAAATTCAACTAGGCTCAACAGAAGTTCCTTTTTAGACGAAAGCCTCAAACAAAAACAACAAATAAAAACTTTTTGTTGTCGTTTGACACCTGTTAAAAGCTACTTTTTCACACTATAATACGGCAAAATCGAGTTGACATGATGTATGCTCTTACACTGTCCCGTTGTAGAACAACATTTATTTGCCGAGTTTTATTTTCGTTCACCATTCTCTTTGCTATTCGCGTATTATTATTCCTAGCGCAATTATACTATCGATTACGTGGAGAAACGACTATGGGTTTACTCGAGATTAAAATCATGGAATAGATTATTCCTGGTATAGTTACTCGTGTATAATATGAAGTTTGGTCGAATCGACCCTAAGTATTGTCTTACTTGCATGATAAATCATACAGCGCCCCTAGTGTACACGTAGTTTCAAAACTAATCTTTCTTATATATTCCAGAAACTTATGGGTATTTCACGAAGAATACTATGCAATAGGCGTGACCCACTAAATTAACCAATAAACCACAATCAAATTTGTTTGTTTTATAGAACAGGGGGCAAACGGGCAGGAGGCTCACCTGATGTTAAGTGATACCGACGCCAATGGACAGACACACATTGCCAGAAGTCTCGCAACTAAGAGTGAGCTAATATTATTTAAATTGGTTAATTTATCTAGGTCACGACTGTTGCAATGTCTTGGCAAAGTCATAGATGTTAATGATGTTAGAACCGAAACATGTAAGAATTATGTTTTCATTTAGAAGGAATAGAGGACACAAAAACCTTGTTTCTGGGTTTTTGAAGTAACAAGCAAAATTATGCTGACGCAATCTTAATCATATTAATTCAAATTTGTTCACCTTCTAAATAACGCCTAAATCGTATTTAGTTAACAAAACGTGCGTGCATAAATTATGCATTATAAATAATATAATTAAACAGAGCCTCACTGACCTCATAAAATTTCCGCAAGGTCTCACACAGTATCAGCTCCAATTTATTATGGTATTCACTTTAAGTTATAAATTGAAATCTGTTATACCAGACTTTGTTTAATATCTTAAAATAAATGTAACAAAGGTTTAAATCCATCTCGACGAAGTGTGGATTGGCTAAAAAATATAGGATAAATTAATTCTTCTTTGACGGCATTTTAAAAAATTGTGAATAAAATTTATAGTGACCCTGAATAAAATTTCGTGTAATTATAATTTTGGTTTCTAGTCATTTTATTTAGTTGGTAACATAGGAGTTAGACAGACCACTGTGTAAAAATGGTTTAACTTAAAATTGTGGTTTTCATTGTTCTAAAATAAAGCGCACATAATCCATTAAATTTATAGTTGTTAGATGGTTATGTATGTTGTAATATTTGTTATTGTTACTGTTATGTTATTTGGATTATTAGGTAAGTGAAAGCAATATTAATATAATGTATAAACATTTTATTTCAAGTTTGTTTGAAATAATATTTAATTGATTTTTTTATTAGTTCTCCCGTTCTCTTGTACGTTTTTTGTGATTTATAATATTATCACTGATGTATAAGAATATTTTATGAATTATATATTACAGTAAATAAAATAATTAGCGCCGAAATGTGTAGAGTACTTTATTGTTTAACATCAAACTGATAAGTCACCTTTGTAAGACAAACTTTTGACAAAAAACTTTTTTATAGAGTATCGAAAAATATATAACGTTTTATAAGAACCATATAACATTTTTAAATCTTTTGTATTGAACAAATGATTTTTCGAAATATGTCTAATCAAAACCTTTAAGATTAGTAAACCTATGTCGTACTTTATTGCTTTAAAGTACGGCAAAGCTTTACTAATGATACTTAAATAATTTTACAAAAGCGATACCAAAAATCAGTTATATCTAATTAACCAACCTGCAAGGTCAAAGCAAAAATTTGATTATGAAATTATTTACTAAAATATTCGTGTCGTTGCTATTTCTGTTGCCAAGGGCAACTACAGTACCTAGAGACTAAAATCATATGACCGTATCTAGTATAACATCTAGTTTTAATACAGAATTTTGAGATTCATTAACTAAGCAATTAATTGATAAAGCAAGACCCGATCATACACGACCCTTGTTTATTACAAACATCAAATTTTCTTACCTATTAATCGAAATAACTTAAATACGGCTACACATCCGCAGAGATAAGTGTTAACCTTGTCTTATTTAGACCGTAGTATGTCTTTATAAGTGTAGATTAAACCTGTAAATATAATTAATATGTATTATAAATACTATGTTCGGTGGCAGTTTGTTGATTTTTTAAGCTTAATCTGTGCGATAAGGGAATAAGATGTCCATGTTATTGAAAATTTATGTATAAATAAAATTATATTATCCAACCCAAGTTATTTTACTCACATTACACTGGAAAGGATAAAGGAACTAGAATTTCGTCATAACCACTGCCTTTGTTGTATGGAATTTAATAAACCGACAATTTAAAACTTGTTGGTTAATGTAGGGTTCTAATCCAGCGATGGGAGGGGAGGAATTATAGGATCAAAAATATAAAATACCTTTGCAATTTCTATGTTTTTTTAAATACTTTATATAAAAATTTAGATAATACTTAGTGAATCATGACACCGAAAGTCCTGGGTTTCTTATAGAAATTTTAAGAAATGTGTACCATGATGGAATAACAAGTTATTATAGTTATAGTTATAGGCATATTGTCTTAATATATTAATATTATTATTACAATCTATAATGTCTTGAAGAATCTAACCTAATATTTTGTTTGTCTTGTGTTAAAAATAAATTGCAGAACGTTGAATCACCGATATATATATAGTATCTTAAATATGAATTAGTCGATTGTATAAATTCTTATTTAGGCTATTATTTGATTTTTAAAACACTTCTCAAACTTAGGTGCATAGAATTGACGAATCAAGTCTTTGTAAACAAAATGATTTAACGGAGTGTTGTTCTAGTGCCTTCAGCGTGCAAGTCTCATCCGTGAGGTCGTAGGTTCGATCCCCGACTATGCACCAATGAGTTTCTGTCTATGTGCGTATCCAACCTGTGCGTTGAACGAAAACACCGTCAGAAAACCGGCATGTCATGTCTTAGACACAAAAATTCGAGGACGTGCTTCTGTATCGTATGGCACCGTAGGTGGAACACCTTCTTGCTTTTAGAGAAAACAATTCATCACGAAACAAATACAGAACTCTGAGGCCCAAACTTGTTATATAGCCTTCCAGGATGGACTTTTCAACACAAAAATAATTTTACAAAACCAGTCGATCATTTTGAGATTGGCGCGTTCAAACAAACAAATATACCTGGGTGTTACGGAAACTGTGCAATAAATACAGAGGTTGCCTTTTTTAGTGATACCTTTTTATTTCCCCCCCCCCCCCCCCCCCCCCCTTTCTTTTTCCCCCCCCCTTCTCTTTTTTTTCTCTTTCCCCCCCCCCCCCCCCCCCCCCCCCCCCCCCCCCCCCCCCCCTTTTTTTTCCCCCCCCCCCCCCCCCCCCCCCTTTTTTTTTTTTTTTTTTTTCCCCCCCCTCTTTTTTTTTTTTTTTTTTTTCCTCCCCCCCCCCCCCCCCCCCCCCCCCCCCCCCCCCCCCCTTTTTTTTTTTTTCCCCCCCCCCCCCCCCCTTTTTTTTTTTTTTTTTTTTCCCTCCCCCCCCCCTTTTTTTTTTTTTTTTTCCTTCCCCCCCCCCCCCCCCCCCCCCCCCCCCCCCCCCCCCCCCTTTTTTTTTTTTTTTCCCCCCCCCCCCCCCTTTTTTTTTTTTTTTTTTTTTTTCCCCCCCCCCCCCCTTCTTTTTTTTCCTTCCTTTTCCCCCCCCCCCCCCCCCCCCCCCCCCCCCCCCCCCCCCCCTTTTTTTTTTTTTTCCCCCCCCCCCCCCCCCCTTTTTTTTTTTTTTCCCCCCCCCCCCCCCCCCCCCCCCCCCCCCCCCCCCCCCCCCCCCCCCCCCCCCCCCCCCCCCCCTCCCCCCCCCCCCCCCCCCCCCCCCCCCCCCCCCTCGCCCCCCCGGGGCGGGGCCCCCCCCCCCCCCCGCTTCCTTGGTTCCTTTGCTTTGGGGGGGGTTGGGGGGGGGCCCCCCCCCCCCCCCCCCGCTTTGTGGGGGGGGGGGGGGGGGGGGGGGGGGGGGGGGGGGTTTTTGGGGGGGGGGGGTTTTTTTTTTTTTTTTTTTTTTTTTTTTTTTTTTTTTCCTCTTTCCTTACCCCCCGGGGGGGGGGGGGCTGGGGGGGGGGGGTTGCTTTCTTTTTTTTTTTTTTTTTTTTTTTTTTTTTTTGGGGTTTTTTTTTGGGGGTTGTTGGGGGGGGGGGGGGGGGTGGATTAACAGTTGCTGACTTACCTGAAATATATGAAATATAAAAAAAAAATATATGAACGGACATATATGAAAAATGTAATTATGGGACGTGAATGAATCTAAATACTATTTTTGATTTTATTTGTTTGCAGACGAATTTTTTGAACGTAGAAAGAACGCACTCCTCGTAGTTCGTAACTTACTATAGGTTTGACTGTTATTACGTTTCACGATCAAGATTCTTAGATAGAGGTGTCAAAAGGCTCAAGAAACACTCTAAGCGATAAATTAAGATAAAATAATAAATATAAAAACATCGCGCTTCCGTGAAATTACTAAGGATGCTTTTGCCACATATTTTGTAAGTATTCAACAACTTGTATTATGTGTTGCTCATGTTAATTATACGTGATCTTTTGGGTTACTGCATACCAATCTGAAACTATTAATTCAAATACAAATTACTTGTATTGGAGTTTGAATACTAAGTATTGAATAAATAGTTTCTTCGGCAACCCTTCGGCATCAATTTCTATTTAGTTTAGTTTACAAAAAGAACTTAGTAATACTTCGTACAAAACGCTTCATTTTTTTTTATTTTTATGATTAGATATCTTGGTACAATCGAGATATCTAATAAAGTGACTGAGAAAGCTTTTTGTTACTGAATTCTTATCCAACAGGTTTATTTTAAAATATCATACTTTACCCAAAAATTTTAAATACTATTATGGTTTAAATGTAAGCTAAGTCTATTCGGATTTTGGTCTTATGAATCACATCCCAGACGTCGAATTATTTTTTGACTTATTTTCCATCTAGGTTGGTCATAGGCCTGTGTTTATCAGCATCACAAGGCCATAGGATACGCCATGAAGTCCGCAATTTTCCTGATCATTTTCTCTTCGGAACAGCAACGGCATCGTACCAAATTGAAGGTGCATGGAATGTAGACGGTATGTAAATCACTTATGCAGAACAAATCTGATTAAAACAAATGTATCAATTTTACCACGACATTATTTAGAAGAAAATTGTATTATCAAACGTATAATAATATCAATCACAAAAATTCAAATATTTACGTTTGTCAAGTTTATGTTGTGTTTTGTTTTTGTATTGATTATTAAGTGTCGTCAAGTCCTACGAATGTTAGCAATACATATTATAATATCAAATATAAATATAATTTTAATATAAAATATACTTATAGTATAAATAAAAAGCTTATGTTTACGGACGGATTATGCCTACATCGTCTGCTTAGAATGACAATAAATATATTATAGATTATAGGTATATAAATTGTGTACATTTTTTCAGGTAAAAGTGAAAACATATGGGATCATTTGAGTCATCAAACACCATGTGTTATTGAAAACTGTGATACTGGTGATGTTGCAGATAATTCATATTATTTATATAAAAGGGACGTAGAAATGCTACAAGAGCTCGGAGTTGATTTCTATAGATTCTCCATTTCCTGGACGAGAATTTTCCCAACTGGATTCACCGATAAAATTAATGAGGCTGGTGTCCAATATTACAACAATTTGATAGATGAGCTACTGAAAAACGGAATAACTCCAATGGTAACATTATTCCATTGGGACCTGCCCCAAAACTTGCAACAACTTGGTGGCTGGGCCAATCCGCACATTGTGGAGTGGTTTGGAGATTATGCTAAAGTAGCTTTTGAATTATTCGGGGACAGGGTGAAATATTGGATAACTATAAATGAACCGTATCAAATTTGCCACATGGGATACGGAGAGAAGGAATTGGCCCCCTTGCTTGATAGCAAAGGTTTTGGGGAGTACCTTTGTGCGAAATATTTATTATTGGGACACGCTAAAGCATATCACACTTACAATAATGAATTCAGACAACATCAACGTGGAGAAATATTTATAACTCTGAGTGCTCAGTGGTTTGAGCCTGATGGCGAAGATAATGTTGAAGCAGCGAACGACAGTAATGAATTTAATGTAAGTATATTTATTAAATTAAGTTAGTCCTCAAATCATTGAACATATATATATCGTCATACTTGAAGTATTGACATCGTGAACCTAATTTAATTTCAACCAGTACTTTCAGGACTAGACAAATTTATAAATTTTGTCACTTACTGATTCGATCATAATAACTTTAAGGCAGTACTAGCAGACAGAAGAAATCACTTACTTACTTAGCTTAGATACACCAAGATAAGTGTAAGATTCAGAATCAGGACTTAGAGCGACCTATGACTCCCGAATGCCAAAATCCAACATATTTTCGACGTGCGAGAGTCAGACTTAGCGTTATGTCTCGTTTCTGAACCTTGGTTGGTTAAGTATTATTGTATTCGATATTAAACATTGTTTAGGTTGGGATAAATATACCTATTTTCCTAATTCTTACGTAAAAGTCTTTCCTTTGTATAAATACTTCTAACATTGAAGAATGTCCTTAACGGGTTTCAGTGGGGCCATTACGCCCATCCAATATTTTCGGCAACCGGAGACTATCCTCCTGTAATGAAAGAGAGAATAGCGGCCAGAAGTTTCGAGCAGGGTTTCCAAAGGTCCAGGTTGCCTGAATTCACCGCCGAGGAAATTGAATATGTACGAGGAACATCAGATTACTTTGGCCTCAACCATTACTCTGCCTTATACGCATACAGAAATAGTTCAGTGGAAGGATATCACGCAAGTCCATCAATATTTGACGACGTTGGTGTTATAACGTACAACAAGGATTCTGGAGAAGGAATCGTGGTAAGATAAATTGACATAGACATATCATTTATTAGAAACAAAAACACACACACATAAACACACAAAATAACAATAATCAAAGAAAAAAAAATGTTTTCTCTTTTTCCATTCGGTTCATTTGAAGCGTGTAATTCGTGTGTGCTGTGGCTGTAATTGGCCCTGGCTTTATTATACTGAGGAGCAGAATGTTCCACTACTCTGGTCATTCTACCAGAGACCACATCAGCTAGTTTGCGCCTCAGTCCCAAAAAAAAGAAAGAAAAAGAATGTATATACTTAGTAGAAAAAATAAAATAAAAATATTAGTAAAAGTTGAGTGAAGAAGTGTGAGTAATGAAGTCTTGTGTAATGGTGTGAAGTAAATAAAATAAAAATAAGAATAATTGTTAAGAAGTACATATTTTTTTTAAATTAACTACTATAGTTCTCGTTAAACGTGTTTAACTATTAATTTCGATAACTTAATATAACATTTTGCATTATAGGGCTCCCCATGGGCATTTTACAAACTTTTGAAATCAATAAACGAGATGTACGGAAACCCACCAGTATTTATAACTGAGAACGGTAGAGGCAATGATGGTGGCTTGGAAGATGATGATAGAGTTACATATTATAAACAGTATATTAGTGCTATGTTGGATGCCATGGAAGAAGGTTGTGATGTACGTGGCTATACCACATGGAGCCTTATGGATAACTTCGAGTGGTTGAAGGGATATTCGTAAGTATTTATTCACTTTAAGTAAGTAGCAAAGTAATTTAACATAAGTAATTCAAATTTAGATACTTTGTTACTTTTCAAAGTATTAAATTTATTTAATATGGAACTAACACCTAGTTTCTTATTTACTATATTAATTTTACGTTTGTACATTGAATATACAGAATATACTGGCAAGTTTTAGCGTTTGTCTTGCTGATAGATATTTGTATGAATGTTGTGTGTCACTGGCAAAATAAGGCTATTATTATTAAAGCTTTATTAATCCATACAACAATTAGTTAGTTTGCATTCCTTAATATTAGTATTAGTTGTGTTACTATAAATTTATGTTAGATTTATTTTTAGTGGTCTAATTCTTGTATTAGCCCCTTTTAGGGTAAAAGCCTCCTCCATATTTTTACATTTCTCTTTGTCTTGAACAACAATCATTCAGTTTTTCCCCGCTAATTCTATAATGTCATCTGTCCATCTTCTTTTGTCGTCCAATACATCTTTTGCCAGTAGGTCCAGGCTAAATAAGGCTATAAGCTAATGTTATTATTGAATCGAACACAGATCTCCAACTATTATTACATTTGTTTTATTATTGGCACCCTTGTAGTAGCATAAGGGATCGGCTGCAAGGTCAAAAGGTATGTAGGGCAGGGCAGGGGATGGCCCGAGCGATATGCCACATGGTTTGTGGACTCAGTTTCCGCACTTAGACGCTCAATTGGTCCGTTGTATGTAAAGATATGCCTACAATAATATTTTCCTTCTTTTTTTCTTTTTTTTTAATGGCTCTGGCACGGTTTGTGCATTAGCCAGCGTCAAGTATAAGATTTTTATAATTCGTACTTTTTGCCTTAGAAATTCGACCATGTCCTCCATGTACGGTTTAGGCACTCGCCCGGTACCGCACAACCCTCCCAGAGGCCGAGAACAAATTTAAATTAAATTAAAACTTGCCCTCGAACCGGGAATCGAACCCGGTACCCCTCACCTAGCTGCCACTTAATAAGACCGCTAGGCTATGAGGCCCCTTTCCCTTCTTTTCGCATAAAATCATAACAAAAAACAATAATTTATCTAATTGTAATAATTGACGATGGGAACTATGCATTGTATTTTTACTAAATACAATATGTTGTTTGTTGTATAAACAAATAAACATTGTGACCAAACTTCTTAACAGATTTCATTAAAATTTTGCAAATCCTGTGAGATCGTTGAGCCCTTAAATTATCATGCCCACGGGATTAACTACGCTACCAATACCTAATTTGTACCAATTCTTAAAAGGCCGGCAATGTACTCGCGAGCCCTTTGGCATTGAAAGTGTCCATGGGTGGCGGGGCGGTAACACTAAACATCAGATGAGCCTCCTGGCCGTTTGCCCTGTTCACTAAAAAAAAACTACAGATTGTATATATAAAAATAAAGCTATATTGCGTTAAATATAGGAAAGAATACGATAGTAAAATTTATAAAAAAATGAATGAAAATTATGAAAATATGTGCTACTAACTACCAACATTCTTCTTACAGAGTCAGATTCGGGCTATACCAAGTGGATATGAGCAGTCCTGAGCGCACGCGCACTCCGCGAAAATCAGCATTTGTGTACAAAGAAATTTTGCGATCTAGGCGCCTAGATATTCACTATGAACCTAATTTTATTATACATTAAATTTGTATTATTACTATGGTGTTATTTCATTTTTCAGTTGAATTATAAACTCAATAATTACCCTATAACCAACGAAAAAAAGAGTTGAGCCGCTAGTAGCTATTAATTAACCTGATCCTTTTTTTTTTTTTTTTTCGTGGGGAAATGCGTTACGCATACCCTCCCGCGGCATGGTTGACCTTGGTGGGGAAGGGTTATGTGGGACTCGCACAACAGTGCATACCCACTAAAACCCCACGGCGCCACCAGCAATCGCCCGGGGCAGGACACGGTAACAGCGTAGCCTTGTCCGCATCCAGCCACGCGATCAGCCGTTAGTATCACGGTCCTCTACGGCCACGAATGATGTGGAATGGACCTTGGCACAGCAAGGGCCTTTCACATCGGCCAATTCACCCTGTTTATAAAGCTGGGGGAGGTCGGGCACGATGCTTGCAGGGATGCGTCAGCATCCTTTTCGACGCATGAACCCCTGTTCCCCCGCTGGAGCAACTGCGTGCCCAGGATTACACACGGGGTTGCACGGTGCAACGGCGGCGCTGTGGTCTCCTACGGCGACGCGGGTGGGCTGCAGGATCATCCTCCCTGGCCCTTTCCGCCTCTTCCTTTTGGTGCATGACGGCTTCACAGAATCTCTGGAAGATTTCCCACATGCCGTCACTGTCCGAGTTTGTAACTGCTACTCTCACAATGTTATCGAGGGTAGCGTCCTCGCCCTGTAGCACGCCCAGTAGATGCCTCCTTTCCACCTCCCATGCTAGGCAATCCTTTAAGGTGTGGAGCGCATCATCAACAACACCAGCGTCACAATGCTGGCAGGTTGGTGCCTCCTCACGCCCGACTACCTTGTGCAGATAGCTGCCGAAACAGCCGTGTCCGGACAATATCTGCACGAGTCGGTAGCTGAGGCGGCCCCACCGCCTCCTCACCCATTTGTCGAGATGTGGTCTGAACGCGTTGATGGTTTAGAACCCAGCGCTCGCAGTAGCTAGTTCTTCCGCCCACTGTCTTATTGCTTCGTTTTCTTCGGAAATTTTCCACGACTTGATTGCTCCGAGCGCTGGGTCATTACCATTGTGCCTGGCTTCGGCCCTCCTCCAATAAACTTCGCTTAAGGCATCCGCTTCGAGGTGCCAGGGTGTGGTGCCGGCTATAACACACGCTGCGTCATACGAAACCGTGCGGTACGCCCTCGCGACCCTAATTGCGATTACTCTCTGCGACTGCCTGAGGATGGTTTTGTTGTACCGGTTCAGCTTATCCGCCCATATTGGGCACCCGTACAATGCCTTCGCTCGCACTACATTAGCGTATAGGCGGCGACACTCTCCACCCGGCCCGCCTAGGTTTGGCATTATGCGTGAGAGCATACCTGCTGTGGTAGTAAGGTTGGGGGCAAGTGTCGTGAAGTGCGCCTTGAACGTCCACCGAGGATCTAGGACAAGCCCCAGGTATTTGAGTGTGGAGCCGATCAGGATAGATACTCCGCCGACTATAATGCTTTCACCTTGTGGTGGCGCTCTGCGGTGGCCGTGGAAACATATCGCCTCCGATTTGGCGAGGGCGACTGTGAGACCAAGCTTTCTAATCTCGGACACAACTCTGGCTACTCCAGCAGTTGCGCGTAATCGCGCTTCCTTGTAATCCTGCCCACAAGCAACCACGAGTGTGTCGTCGGCATAGCAGATAGTTGTCACTCCCGCGACTAGTTCCGCCCTGAGTACCTTGTCGTAGCCGATGTTCCATAGCAGCGGTCCAAGAACGGAGCCCTGTGGAACACCGCATTTGATAAGTCGCTCCCTGAGACCATGTTTAGATGGGTAAACGACTCGGCGTCCTGTAAGATACGATGCTATACACTTTTGTATGTACTCCGGTAGCCCGTGATATTTGAGGCCTGCCTCGATATTTTCCCAGGGCAGTGTGTTAAAAGCGTTGGCGACGTCCAACGATATTGCTAAGGCCACACCACCGCGGGACAGCTGCTCTTCGCACACTGCTCGAAGTCGAGCGATAGCGTCTATTGTTGATCGCCTCTTTCTAAACCCGAATTGCGCTTCGTGTTAGGGCCCACAGACTCTAGGTGCTTGTAAATACGACCGGCAATGATCCGCTCGAACAGCTTGCCAGCTTCATCTAGCAGGACTATTGGGCGATACGCTGAGGGGATTTTAATTAACCTGATCCTACTAAGGTATGACCAAGTTAAACTGGCGTGTACAAAAAATATATTTTTTATTCTAAAAATAGCATAAATTGTCATGACATTGCCAACGTATATAAAAACTACAGAAAACATAGTTACTGTTTCGAACAACGAACAATATAGTTTAGAAAGCTGGTAAACGAAGCTGGCGGTAGATGGGTCGGCCAGTCCCTTTTACCCGCGTGTAGTTTAGGCCTTAGTTAAATATATTATTTGTATTCTTAAGATAGATTTACGCAACCTTGCCGTACGGACGTTAAAACGGTCATAAGCTTGCTTCGCTGTGTTATTTTGTATGACCATCACTAACGTTACATAACGGAACATTTACAATACCACTACCAGTTTCATTTCGAGAGTACGGCGGTGGTTTGGATCGAGCCATCGTACACTTTTAGTAACATATATAGGAACGGTAAATTTAAAGGTACAATACCAGAAAAATAAAGAAGCTTGCGAAGATTTTTAAAATTGCAATTGAACGATATATTATTAATGACAAATTCTATGACTTTCTAACAATAAATGTTTTAATGCAGATTTTTTCCACATTTCTTCATGGAATATTGAGTTAGTCTTTAGTGGTCTTTATTAGCAAATATAATATAACTTGTATTTTATGCACAAGAAGTAGTTGGTTACCACTACAACGTTTAGAGTACCTACAAGTCCGAGCGCTTCAGGATCCACCTTTCTATATATATTGAAATAAATTTTGTAATAAGACAGACATTCTTTGTTGTAAGTGGTATACTACGAGAGTGGTCCGATAAGTACTTAGCCTACAAAACATAAAAATAAAATTGGTTAAGTGGCGATTTATTTCTCAACATAACGTTTCCTTTGAGATCCAGCGATGTTGCAACGTCTTTAACCCGTCTTAAAGAAACGTCTTCTTAAACTGCCTCAAAACAATTCGACTCAAATTTCTGACCGGCGAATGACTTTTTTCAATTTGGATACAAAAAGAATTTGCACCAAACCAAACCCGGAGATTACGGTAGATGGGGCAGCAGCTCACCACGGCCTAATTCTACCAATTAGGCCGTGGTGAGCGCGAAGGTGTGAGCCGGTGCATTATCCTGATGTAAGAGCTTTTTTCTTCGCCAATGGGGCCATATACTGCATCCAAGCGCTATTTGATTTCGCTGCGCGATTTCCCTTCCAAAAACAAGAATCGAATCACTGACTGACACGCTCACTTTCACACGGTAGCTGTCTAAGTGAATTTTCTAAGCGATTAAAAATGCGATAGTGGTGCTATCGGGCGGTGATGCTAACTACTTATCGGACCTCCCTCGTTTAACTAAAATACGGACACGCAATGCACACATTGAAGCTTTCGGCTTTTCTATTAACGATACCGGACTGAACTCTATGCACAAGACTCTAACGGATCTGTATGATCCAATCACAGCTACAATCAACCAGAAGTAACAATCTGCCCGAGCGGCAAAATCCAGCCTGTCAGACTAGAGTAAAATACCGTCTTTACAGAGGAAGGCAGGGTTCCATGCTTAACGCTTCACAATCCACTTTCGTTCTGCTTTAATCTAGTGTCCAACCGATGGTCGAGGTCCGAGTCTCGCAATAAACGCTGTTGTACTAGTCGTGGAAAATATTATGCCTTAGGTGTTTTCAAATTCTCGCCTTTTAGCTCTACCTGAACTGTAAAGGTCTTTCAGAGCAAATGCGAGATCCTATTCCATAAGAAAATAAGCTCAATGCATTCGATAGCTTGACGATTGCATTTTTAAAGCCCTCTGGGTTGTCTGCTTTAGGATCTACAGTAGCTACAGCTACAACAGCTTGACTGTTGGCTGGTGTTCTCCCTACAGTTTAGTAATAAGTTAAAAAATGTTTAAAGAAGAGCAAACATTTTCTGAAGATCAATTAAGGATATTCTTAAATGCCCTTACAATGCTTAAACTTAAGCAAAAATATCAGATTTTATTGGAATGTTCAGAGAAGTAAGAGTAAACTGCATGCACTTTATTTTATAATACCTACTACAAACTGTAATTATTTTATTTTTATCTCATACAATGTTTTATTGTTTTTTTTATTACTCTTTAATGTATAATATTCTACGGTTTCGATATTTGTAAATATGTGAGGAAAAAGGGGCCCCGGGGGGGTCCCAAAAAAAAAAATTTTTTTTTTTTTTTTTTTTTCCCTTTCAAAAATTTAACCCTTACCAAAATTTTTTTTTTTCCCCCCCCTTTTTGGGGGGGCCAATATTTTTTTTTTTTTTTTTTTTTTTCCCTCTGGGGGGGGGGCCCCCCCGTGGGGGGGGGCCCCCCCCCCCTCTTTTTTTTTTCTTTTTTTTTTTTTCTTTTTTTGGGGTTGGAATTTTTCCCGGGGGGGCCCCCCCCCCCTTTTTTTTTTTTTTTTTTTTTTTTTTTTTTTTTTTTTTTTTTTTTCCCCCCCCCCCCGGGGGGGGGGGGGGGCCCCCGCCCCCCCTTTCCCCCTTTTTTTTTTTTTGGGGGTTTTTTTGGGGTTGGGGGGGGGGCCCCCCCCTTCTCCCCCCCTTTTTTTTTTTTTTTTTTTTTTTTTTTTTTTCGCCCTCTTGGGGGCTTTTTTTTTTTTTTTTTTTTTTTTTTTTCTTTTTTTTTTTTTTTTTTTTTTTTTTTTTTTTTTTTTTTTTTTTTTTTTTTTTTTTTTTTTTTTTTTTTCCTTTTTTTTTTTTTTTTTTTTTTTTTTTTCTTCCCCCCCCCCCCCCCCCCCCCCCCCCCCCCCCCCCGGGGGGGGGGGGGGGGGGGGCCCCCCCCCCCTTTTTTTTTTTTTTTTTTTTTTTTTTTTTTTTTTTTTTTTTTTTTTTTTTTTTTTTTTTTTTTTTTTTTTTTTTTTTTTTTTTTTTTTTTTTTTTTTTTTTTTTTTTTTTTTTTTTTTTTTTTTTTTTTTTTTTTTTTTTTTTTTTTTTTTTTCCCTCCTTTTTTTTTTTTTTTTTTTTTTTTTTTTTTTTTTTTTTTTTTTTTTTTTTTTTTTTTTTTTTTTTGTTTGGTGGGGGGGGGGGGTTTTTTTTTTTATACAACATGTATACTATCAATACAATAATCGCCCTATCTGCTGCATTGCTTAATTTGTAAGTAATAAATACTTTTAGTATGGTAGATCGAAAATATTTAATGTATTATTTTATTCATTATAAATTAAATATGTAATATGCTCGTACACGTGTATATTTAAATAACCATTATTTCATTTTTAAACCTTTTTCAATAATTTTTATGTATAAAAAAAAATTAAGAATAAGCTAAATTAAGCTATTGGGCTCAAACATAAAGATATTCTTTGTCTTAAATAAAGTGCCTGATAAAAGGATTATTCTGATAGGATAAATTTTGTAATTTTTTACCTTTATTATATTTATATTTATATTATATTTAGAAACAGAAGTTCCAATAAAATATTTTTTATTTTTATTCTAGGAGAACATTGTCTTCCCATATAATTATTGAACTAAACCTTTTGGAAGGGGCAACTAGAATCATCTTTATATTTTATTTGAGGTTCAAAAGTGCCATTTTAGGTGGTCTAATTGAAATTAATGATTTGACTTGACTTGACTTGGCATGTTAATTTAAAAAAATAATTATATATAGGAAATCTATAATTTCAACGAGAAACAAGTTTAAATTCAGTGGACTTAGTCGTATATTAAGATACGTCAATCAATTTTTGATTCTTATCAAGAATATCAAATTTCCTCTCGTATAAATAACTTGGGAGATATGTTTTTTAATCACACGATGGGACTTAGTTATTCATAATGGGTCAACTAACTTTTCTTTGGTAAGTAGCAGTAGTGCAGTAACTTTAAAAATTATAAATATTTATATTTTTAGAGTAAGATTGTTGATTTCATCGTGTATTAGTTGTTCGATTTAAACAATTGGAAAACTACCCAAGATCTCGAAAATATCGAGATCCCACGAGATCTCGTTCGTTTGCGATATTGCGTTCCCTACTCCATAGTAACAAAAGAATCACGCGTGCGTAAGCGTTAATTGAGACCTAGCACTCTTTTCTCAAGGAAGATAATAGGGGGTTTACACGGGTGACTAAAGCCGCACGATTTTTGCCGCGCGGCGTAAATCGACCATCTAAATGGCAATTCGGCTAAGTCGCAAGTGACTGAAGCCGCACGATTTTTGCCGCGCGGCGTAAATCGACCATCTAAATGGCAATTCGGCTAAGTCGCAAGTGACTAAAGCCGCAAGCCCCAAAGTTGGGTAGCATCCGACTTTGGCCGCGCGGCGACCGGCCGCATGCGACTGGTGACTAAAATCGACCGTGTAAACGATCAGTTGCAGGCGATCGCCCGCCGCATGAAGGTGTTTCGCGCACGCACGTGTATTTATTTACTACAGCGATTCTGTGTATACGTCGAGAAATCCATCCTAGTACCCAAACATTACGTTTTCTTCTTTCCTTTTGTTTTTTCTTCTCTCTTTGTTCTTTAAGCAATTGAATTGAATAATTAATTATTTCTATTCCGGCACAAACGGCTATTGCTCAACATTTTCGATGGAAATGACCGAGCCGCATGCGATTTTAGTAACCTGTGTAAATGGGCTAGCGATGCGGCTTGGTGAGGCAATTTGTGAAGCGACTCGCCGCACGGCGAAAATCGACCCGTGTAAATACCCCCTAAGAAAGATAGTCTCTAGTCTGATCTGAAAATGGTAAAACGTATTTTCTAAATACATTTTGTTATTACTTATTTATTTTTATTTATTCAGCAAATAGTTAATAAAATCGTTGTCCATTGTAAATTAGGCGTGAAGCAGATCTTGTATTTGTTTTAAAGGTGACATTATATTACATTTATGTTCAATGGGACAGTGTGTAAGTAGGATGTACCCCTTTATTTATGTGTAAAGTAACACGCCACTAGTCAAACCTAAAAAAGCCATTTGAGGTTTATAATTGACCAATTTGCTTAATTTTGCGTGTTTTGAAATTTCCCCTGCGTTTTTTGGTAAAAAATAAAATTAGTTTTACGAAATCGGCAGTAAAAATCGATCAAAAGTCAGTGACGCCCCTCAGCTTTGGCCTTCAGATGTCTGTATCTGCTTTCTTAATCTTTCATTTATTTTGTTACAAATTATGCCGCACTTCTAAGGTTTATTAAACCCCTATGAGTGATAATAATAACTTCATCTATCATATACTTAAGTTATCTTATCCCGATTATTGGCTTTGTATATTTATATATAAATAATGATAAATTTGTATGAAAGAGTTGACCATATAATGTCTAGCGTAGATCGAATTAAAGAGTAATTGTGCTGAAATATTGGACCGTGGAAATTTTCTAGCCAAATTTTGAGAAAATTTACTTATGTTAAAAATGTATACTGTGCCACAACGTAACTAAAAAATGGTCTTGTTATCCATATATCAATGTAAGAATATCTATAAATTAGTAGTTAGTTTCAGATAATCGATTATATGTATTAAATTCTGCATATACCTTACATATGTTTAATATTTTTTAGTGTATATCTTGTGCTATCATTAACGAAGGGAGAGCAAATTAATCGTTTTAGGCGAAAGATTCCTGATAACATTCTTTTTGGAGCAGGAACTTCTGCTTATCAAATAGAAGGAGCTTGGAATGAAGATGGTAAGAGTGAATTTATAATTTTGTCTAACATTATTCTTTTAGTATTTACATGAAAGGTTCAATGTAGACTTTTTCCCCAGTCAGTTTAACTAAAGAACTCTTCCAGGAGGATGAGAATTGGTCAACAACACGGGATTGTAACGCGACAAAATACGTCATGACAGTAATCAATAAAAAAATAATAGTTCCTTAATAGTCTGAATTACATGACGCACAGTCATTATTTTCATAGCCCGAATCAAAATTCAGTAAAAATGTTAGCGTTATTGGTGTTAACTAGTTACGATTTTCAGGAAGAACTGAAAGTGTCTGGGATTACATCAGTCATGCTGAACCATGTGAAATACATAACTGTGACACTGGTGACATTGCTGCCGATTCGTATAATAATTATAAGAGAGACGTTCAAATGATGAAGGAAATGGGGCTTGACGTTTATAGATTTTCGATCTCCTGGAATAGGATACTTCCAACGAATTCACCCAATAATATAAATGAAGCAGGGGTTGCTTACTACAATAAATTGATAGATGAAATGCTAAAGTACAACATAACACCTATGGTTACAATTCATCACTTGGATGTCCCGCTTCAAATAGATGAACTTGGTGGTTGGGTTAATCCAAAAATGGTTGATTGGTTTGTTAATTATGCGAGGGTCCTTTATGAATTATTTGGTGACAGGGTTAAAACTTGGTTTACAATCAACGAACCACGTGAATATTGTATACAAAGGTCAATGAAACCTGGTTTTGATGATTATATCTGTGCGAGACATATGCTTTTGGGTCACGCAAAAGCTTATGACGTATACAAAAATGAATTCAAAGCTAAGTATGGTGGTAAAGTCGGAATTGTTTTAAATTCTTTATGGTATGAACCAGAAAGTGAAAAGGATGCCGAAGCAGCAGAAGATAAACTACAATTCGAAGTAAGAATATAATTTAATTTATTAGATACAGTTGTAATAAATTCACTCAAAGATCCCATTTTCCATATAACCTTCTAAAGGAGACGTATTTCGTATGCAATTTCATTGATCGATTTCTTTTAATTAATCTGTGAGTACCCATCATATATAACTAAGGTACTGGCACATAATATTGTATTTTATATCAGTGGTATCAATACATTACTTTACAATATTTTCAAACTAACTTATTGTTAAAATATTTTCATACTTTTAAATTGAAGATATAATATTTTTAGCTAGGGCAGTATGCACATCCCATATTTTCAAAAACTGGCGACTGGCCACCACTAATGAAAAACAGAATCGCAGCTAAGAGTGCAGCTCAAGGTTTAATGGAGTCCAGATTACCAGAATTCACGCCCGAAGAAGTGGAACTAATTAAAGGCAGTTCAGATTTCTTTGGATTAAATCATTATACATCAGCCTTAGTTTACCGAAACAATTCTGTTCAAGGATTTTATCCATCTCCATCATATGAAGATGATACTGGCGTTATAATGTATCAACCGGAGACCTGGGAGAAAACTATAGCACCATGGCATAAAGTAATCTTTTTTTCTAATTAAATATTAAGTGTTTTGTTTGTGAAACCCAAAAACTACTGAATTGAACCAAACCTCAGGAAGAAAACAAACAACATAGAGAGTGTTCAGAGGAGTTTTACGGATTAACAGCTGCAGCTGAGATTCATCATCGCGTGTCGAGGCAGAATACGAAATACCATCCGTATCACCTCGACGTCTGTCGTTCCACAACTGAGCGTTATTTAACGCAGTTTGTGCCGCGAACCACCACTATGTAGAACCGGCTGCCCACTGAAGTATTTCCGAACTAATTCGAGTAAGTGTCATTCAAGAAAAGAGTGTACCAATTCTTTACAGGCTGGCAACGCAGTCGCCCTCTGGCATTCAGAGTGTCCATGTGCGGCGGGGCGGTATTACCTTTAAATCAGGTCAGCCGTCTGTCAGTTTAACACCTGTTCTAGATTCTATAAAAAAAATAACAAAATTACATTGGAAAGGCATACTTTTGTTGTTAGCATAAGTACGTCTGTAAGGGTATGAATTATAAACTCTTCAGATTAATACTGGAAATCGTTTTAGGTTGTCCCCTGGGGTTTCTATAAGCTATTAAACAAAATACGTGAAGAATATGGAAACCCTCCTCTGTATGTTACTGAAAATGGTTGTCCGACCGGTCCTGGCTTGTTAGATACACAGAGGGTAACCTTTTATAGAAAGTATTTAAATGCTATGTTAGATTCCATAGAAGAGGGATCTGATGTCCGAGTGTATACTGCGTGGAGTTTGATGGACAACTTCGAATGGATGATGGGTTATCAGTAAGTAAAATCCCTTTCTAATCTAAAATATACAGGATTTTTATTTGTTTGGTCGATCGCTAACCAAACAAACTTCAAATTTTTTATTATATTGAGAATGGTTCTATACAATCACAAAATTTTGAAATTAAGACCTATTTATAAAGAAAGTACTACTTCTGTACCATGTACCTAGCATGCTACCATATATTTTTCGTAAAATTTTCTGTAACTAAGAACTTTTACATTCCTATTCATTGTTCAGGCCAGTCTCACTAGCACTTATACAATATTTCTGCAATAATATTTTTTTTGTTTCAGTGATAAATTTGGTATGTATGAAGTGGATTTCAACAGCCCAACACGGACAAGAACCCCAAGAGCTTCAGTTTTCTATTATAAGAAAGTTATTCGAACGCGTAGAGTTTGATAGAGAACTTGATAAAAGTATTTAACTTTACAGTATTATAGCTAAGTTATCTTGTTACATTTGTAATTGTTATATCTGTTTTAATAAAAATATTTAAGTAAGAGAACTTTTATTTCTTTAGAATCTTTAGAATATATTATTGTCTTTTATTGACATAACTTTCACACATTTCATAATAAAACATCTTTTAGTCGATATAACTCAAACAAATCAGATAATACAACTTTTTCTACAGCTGTGATACTTTTTAATACAACACCTTTTGTCTTCATACCGTGACCACGCACGCTGTAAAGCACGCGAAACGTCGGTTAAATTTAAAATTATGAAAAGTAATTGTAAATACATAACTTCAATCCGGTAAAAAATTGTTTTATTATCTCAAATCTTTAGAATAATTAAATGTTTTCTTTACACATCACTAGATAATGGTAGTTGGTATAATCTGTTACCGCCAATCTTAAATTTCTAGACCATTACAACTTTTTAAAATTCAAAACAAAAAACAGTGTTAATTAGTTAGTCCTTATTTATTTTTATTATCTATTTTGTGTGTATTTGGTTGCCTTAGTAATGAAAAAACCGGCTATATCTAAATTTTTAAATATTTTTATATTCAATTAATTCAATCAATACACACAAGACGCGCGTATGTTTTTTCGTGTCTCATATCGGTGTTTAAGATGACAAAATAGGATGCAATTGGATTTTTTTAAAAGAATATTGACAGTCAAGATAGCATTATCTCATCTTAAGTTATCTTTTTGAATAATATATTTAATATGACAATATATTTAATTTAAAGAAAGAAAGCAGCAAGCTTTATAGGTGCAATAACCAGGCAGATGTGTTAAAGGCGCAAAGGTTTTACAGTAGCGTAAGTTAATTAAAGTCAACTTACAAAGCAAACTAAATCTTGCATAACTTAACTTAATCAATAATTGTTAATTTTAATTCTATATCACATTTAGTTATGAAATGATGTTACCTGACCTTTGAATGAGGCTAAATTGGCGGTGAACTGATTAGTACCAAAAATAAAGTTTCTCGTATTTATATGTATCGTACATGTGCAAGGTGTGTGACATCTTCGCATAGGTCTCAAAATTTCTATAATAATGTAGAAGTTACTGTGTTTAGAAAATTTAAGATTATTTTGTATCGGAATTGTAGAAGTAAGATTAAAGTCGGATGTGCGTGTAATGTTCGTATCTGTATTTTCAACAAGTAAAGAAGACAAAATGAACTTAGTCCTGTGTTAAGATACGTCAATCAGCAAATTTTCTTATCAGGAATATCATTTTTCTCTCGTATAAATAACTTGCGTCATATGTTTTTAATCATACAATGGTACATAATGGGTCAAATAACTTTTCTTTGGTAAGTATGCAGTAACTTTGATTTAAACATTATAATTATCTACACTTTTAGATTGTATTGATGTATTATTTTCAGCTTGTTGATTTTTACATTGGCTTATGGGAAGTCGGTAAAAACCGAACGACACGAGCCACGCAAATTTCCTGATGGTTTCCGATTTGGAACTGCTACTGCGTCCTATCAAGTCGAAGGAGCCTGGAACGTTGATGGTATGTGTTTGATTTTGGTTACTGTCTAATAAATAAAACCAAAAAAAATATCAAACGTCCAGTAGAACATAGCGATTTAGGGGATTACACAAATGTAGTACCAACATTTAGTTATGCCATTTTATTTATAATTTACATACATTTCAGGAAAGAGCGAAAACATTTGGGATCGTTTGAGTCACACTCAGCCTTGCGTAATAAATAATTGTGATACTGGTGATGTGGCTGACAACTCTTACTACAACTACAAGAGAGACGTGGAAATGATGAGAGAGTTAGGACTAGATTTCTATAGGTTCTCTATTTCCTGGTCTAGGCTCCTTCCTACAAGCTTCCCAGATCATATTAATAGAGAAGCTGTACACTACTACAATAATTTGATTGATGAAATGTTGAAATATAACATTGAACCCATGGTTACATTATATCACTGGGATTTACCGCAAAAGTTACAAGACCTTGGTGGTTGGACTAATCCTAACATGGTAGATTGGTTTACCGATTATTGTCGAAATATTTTCGAATTATTTGGTGACAGAGTAAAAACTTGGTTCACCATAAATGAACCGAGAGAAGTATGCTACCAAGGATACGCTGGCATGTCTAAGGCACCTAACCTCAATATATCTGGTTATGCTGAATATCATTGTGCTAAAAATTTATTAGTATCACACGCAAAAGTTTATCACATGTACAAAAATGAGTTTAACAAAGAAGGCGACACAATTGGTATTGTTTTGAGTTCGCGATGGTGTGAACCTGAATCCGAGAAGCACGTCCAAGCAGCCGAAGACATTTTCCAATTTGAGGTGAGTAGTTTTGTGACTGTGATGATTCAAGAAGCCCAATTAAATTAATCTGGTCTGTAATGTGAAAACGGGGCTATGTATATTACTGAGAATGTTTTAGTTTTCTGTTTCCTTTGTCCCAAAGTTGCCCTTTATAATAGTATAATAATAGTTGCAGTGTGCGACAATATGAAGTTATTGCTTACGTAGGTAACAAAACATAACCTTGACAAGATTTATCAAATTACATTAAAATAATACATTTTATCATCGTTCCTAAATGTTAAGACTTTAACACTCCACTCCTGGTTAAAACAAACTAATAATGTTGATTAATATACCAAACGATTTTTTTTTAGTTGGGTCAATATGCCCACCCAATCTTCTCGAATACTGGTGATTGGCCAGCTGTAATGAAAAATAACATTGCATCCAAAAGTGCTGCACAAGGCTTTTATAGATCGAGATTGCCAGAATTCACTCCTGATGAAGTAGAAATGGTTAAAGGCAGTTCAGACTTCTTTGGATTAAACCATTACACTACAAACCTCGTATATAGAAACGAATCTGTAGAAGGTTATCATGCATCTCCATCATATTATGATGACGCAAACGCTATTTTATACCAACCAGCTGATTGGGTTGGATCATACCCAGGGACGACGTGGTTGAAGGTAATTTATTTTTATTATTTATAGAACGGCTATAAACTCTAAATACAGTATTTATAGATGCAAACCCACTTTCGATTTTCATGAGTCATCGGATGCACACATGGTTTATATAATGTTTTTTAACAGATTACTGTTGATAATTCAAATAAATCGTTGCTTTCAAGGTTGTGCCATGGGGTTTCCACAAGCTTTTGAACAAAATTAGAGAAGAGTATAACAATCCACCAGTCTATATAACAGAGAATGGATGTGCAACTAATCCCGGTATTATGGACGACTCAAGGGTGTCGTACTATATGTCCTACTTGGCTGCAATGTTAGATGCCATTGAGGAAGGATCCGATGTCCAACTATACACGGCTTGGAGTCTCATGGATAACTTCGAATGGTATTTTGGATACGAGTAAGTAATTCATTAAGAAGGTTTTGAGACAACCCTATAATTTCCATGTTTTCTTTTCATTTAGTGTGAATATATTTAGGTAAAATTCCTTATATGGTGTTTATGTGTAACGTAATGTTTTTATTTTTTAGCGACCGCTTTGGCCTGTATGAAGTAGACTACAGTGTTGAAGAACGCACCCGCACTCCTCGCAAGTCGGCTTATTTCTACAAGGATCTTCTTCGTACTCGCACCTTAGACGTTCACTACGAACCTGACATGTCCATTCCCATGGAAATTGATATTGGCCATTAGTTTTAAAAGTATAATTAGTTTAAAAATATATTAATACTACCTATACCTATTAATATTAATTGATTTATCTTAACAGACAGCATAATAATAATGATTGTTTACTGTCAACAAATTCCTTTGATGATGACAAGAGATTAAAATTATGCAAATTATTGTAATTGATAAAGCAATGATTAATATATTTACTTATTAGGCCAAGATTATACTAAAAATAAACAAAGTTATAATTGATTATGACCATGAAAATAAATTCTTATTGCGAAGAAAGGAAATATGATTATATTTAGCTACATACTTGATTATTATTTTCTATACAATTCACACTACTATATAATTCAAATAAAGATACATTCAGTTTAGTAGTTTTATAGTGAATGGTAAAAAAAGCCTATTTATTCCTTAACAACAAGTAATTTACACCGACCACACCACATCATTTTTCTCATTCCGAGGCCCTTTCATCTTTAACCAATTTCTTAAAAACAAAATTTTCACTAACGTTACACAACTCACATTTCATACATTCACTTCAATTAATTAATTGAAACAGACCACCTCTCCAGTGGCCTGCTCGTTCTTACTTTTCTGTCCTACCAGGCCAAACCGATATTTTATTATTTCAAGTTGCATCGTCAATTCATATATCCTGTCCGCTTTTCTTTATTACAGTGTTTAATAGCGTCTATATTATTGAAAGTATTGAGTTTCTTATTTATCTTACGCTGAGTATTCCATGGCCCTTTTACACCTTCCTATTTTTCTACTTATTAATCATAAATCCAAGTTTGGTTCTCATAAGATAGACACGGTATATTAAATTAATAGGGGACTTAATACTAGTACTTCCTTGTCACCCGTCTGTTTATTTCGTTGCGGTTGGCTTTTAATAGCTTATTCACGCTGGTACCAAATAGTGTTGAGTCTGAGAGGCATTATCAACTTCTGGGTACAGCGTCTGACATAAGATGCCGTTTTCAGACATAGCTCTCGATACTCTTTGCTTCTGAAGAAGTTATTTCTCGAATCACTCAATCTACTATCTAATTTCTGGAAATAACTCTTTATTAGCTACTGTGAAGGCTTGTATTAAATTAAATTATGACGATTGAATAAGTTTCGTAATTTATTATAAATTATAAGTTAATTAACAATAGAAAGTTATAACAAATTAAAAAAAAATAGTGTTGTATCTTAATTAACCTCATAAATATATCTTAGCAGTTTTCATCGTGTTTTAGTTGTTCGATTAAAACAATTGGTTTTCGAAAACTCGAAAATAGAGATCTCGAAAATACCGAGATCCCGCGAGATTATTATTCTTTATCCTTCTAATACTACATAGTAACAAAATAATCACGCGTGTGTTCGCATTAATTCGCCTCGAACTCTTTTCTGGAGGAAAAGATATTCTCTAGTCTAATCTAAAAATGCTAAATGTTGTCCATTGGGTTAAAATTGTAAATTTATTTGTTTTAAAGGTGACATTATATTGTACATATTAAAATATGTGCCGATTGCAATTAAGTGAATTTTATAAACAATAATGATAAATATTCAATGGGACGTACAGTCTATAGTAGGATGTACATCTTTATTTATGTGTAAAGTGACACGCCACTGTACCTGAAAAGTCTATAAACCTAGGAGAAAGTTTCTAATTTACCAACTTGCTTGGATTTTGTGTGTTTTGCAATTTGTCCTGCGTTGCTTGGTAAAAAGAAATTCGTTTGTTTTACGACAATGGCAGTAAAATTTAATAAAAAATCAGCGGCGCCCCTGTCTTGGCCCACAGATGTCTGTATCTGCTATTATAAGCTTTTATTTTGTTCAAATTACGACGCACTTATAAGGCCACCGAATGGCTCCTAGGCCCAGCGGCTATTATATTCTATTCTATTTGAATATCGCTGTTGCCCTGAAGTGCCTTAAAAGCTCAGTATGGACTTTTATGCCGAGCGTAGCACTGCCTGAAAATTGGATGTTTCCACGACTAGCACATGGGCGTCTCCTCACTGGACTGAGCTTCCTCGGCGAAAGCGGCCTAATCTGAACAGAGCCCAGTTTCTAAGATTGAGAATTTGGCGGTCGGAAAAACTTTGCTAGCGCGGTTCAAGATACGATGTCATCGTAGTAATTTGTAGCGAAAGATTGTAAGAATCGCCACAACTTATATACGGGTCATCAAAAATTTCTAGTTTTTCAGTTTACATTACAAATGAACTACTCTTCAAAAGTGAGTGAGAGAATCTTAAACACTTTCTAGTTTCAAAGACAAACTTAGAATGTATGTAAGATCAGCGAAGATTCTCTGAATACACAACGAAACTATTGTCATACAATATTTTATTGAACATACGGTTTGTTCTGGACAACTCAGTTTCAAATTTGTATTTTAATTTTTATAGAATATTCTACCACTTTGGAAAAAAATTATTTCCGAGTCAATTGTAATTTAAGAAAAACTTTTGCCATTAAGAATTTTGTCACCATAATCATGCTATCACTTACAAGGATGTCAAAATAAACAGTCATATATATAATCAATTATATGTTATTTAATGGCCTTCATCAATAGTCATAGGTACAGACATATCCGGTTCATAATGCATGTCAAGTTCTTTGGTACGTATGAGTTCCTTATAGAAGTATGCAGATTTGCGTGCTGTGCGCGTTCTCTCCGGAATTGAGAAATTTACTTCATACAGACCGAATCGATCACTGAAAAAAAAAAACAAATTTAATTATGTGTATCTTAAGGTTGTATCAGTATTATTTTGCGGTCGAACACAACTGCTCCAAGCAGTCGTAGTCGACTACATCATGCGGTCGTACTTCATGGACTTCAACGCGACCGCTCTAGAGCAGTCGGTCTCGGCTACAACATGCTGTCCCTCTATGGCCAGCATAACATACACTATATAGTTGTTTCAAGATATAGCCAATTGCGATTTTTTATGTTAACGTCATTCTTTCCAACATTAACGTCTTCTATATACTTCTCCATTACCAGACAATAACAATCAATCGTTTTGCATTTGATATAAAAGATGCAAGATGGAAAGGACCAAGTGGAAGAAGAAGGGCGCCCTTAAAGGTGGATAGAAGATATTAGCGTTAGCGAATCGACTGAAGAAAGAAAGTCATGAATTATTTTGAAAAAGCTGGAGGAGGCCATTACCCGTGAAGGGGTTCCGATCAATGGTACTGAAGGAAGTTAGGATATCGAGTAACACGAAAAATCATTATATACCAAATCTAATCTGTATACTCAACATTTGTAAAGATAAGAAATAAACGCTTTATTATGATTTGATGCAAAAAATATATTCATTAGCTACTTTACTACATAACAAAGCATTGGCCTTTAAGTAGGGTAACATATATTTTGCCCTAAATTACTGCTAATTAAATATCGGAATTGTTTTGTATAGAGGAGTTTTCTGTATTTTTATCACTCATTGTTATATAAATAGTAGATGTAACCCAATTCAAATACTTACTTATAACCCTGCATCCATTCAAAGTTGTCCATAAGACTCCACGCAGTGTAAACTTGTACATCAGATCCTTCATCCATAGCATCCAACATGGCTTCTAAATAACGTTTATAGAACGATACCCTGGTATCATCTTCAAGGCCCGCAGTTATCTGCATACATCCATTCTCAGTAACAAAAACTGTGGGATTACCATAATCTTCTCGGATTTTAGTTAACAGTTTGTAGAAACCTTCGGGTACAACCTTAAAATTGAAATGAGTAAATAGCATTTAAGAGAATTTTACCTGACCCAGTCAGAGTTTTAAGAACATACCTTCAACCAAGGCGACCCAATATCTTCCCATGTATTAGATTTATACATTATTACGCCAATATCATCATAATAAGATGGAGATACATGGTATCCATTTACAGATTCGTTTCTGACAATAAGGGAAGAAGTGTAATGGTTGAGACCGAAAAAGTCTGAACTTCCTTTAATCATGTCAATTTCTTCGGCTGTGAATTCGGGAAGTCTTGATCTAAAGAATCCTTGATCTGCACTATTGGCTGCAACTCTTTCTTTCATAACAGCTGGGAAATCACCGCTTTCGGAAAAGATGGGATGGGCATATTGTCCCCACTAAAAGTTTATTATTAGGAATTAAAGATATTTTCTTGACTCCAAATAGGTAATAATAACTAGAAAAAATCTTTAGTTCCTTTTTTTTAATCGTTTTGTTATTTTCCAAGGGCGTGTTAAAGTTTCTTTTTTTACGTTAATTGGTCCGGTACCAGGAGTGGTTGAGATTGCCTATCAAATTTCGTATAAAGATTTTAATTTACATTTTTTATAAAAGTATATTTATAAAAAACCAAATATCCAAGAAAACTTCTAATAAAACTAGCTATAATGTTATGCGGACCTAGTTACAAGTTATAGGTACTAAAAAGTTATAGAAGCTCAACTCAAATATAAAACCTTGAAGCAAAGAAGATTGCGAATACATGTACGATTTACGGGACCTACTACATATAACTTTATATAATATTTTTCAAATCGTTTTACTAAATTTGTTTGTTAATTTTTAAATAGAAATAAGGGATTCGGTGGAAGGGAATGGAAAAACCCTTACCTCAAATTGGTTTGCATCTTCAGCCGCCACAATATCGTTTTCAGTCTCTGGTTCATGCCAGGATGCACTCACCACAATTCCTATTGTTCCACCCTGTTTTGGTCTATATTCGTTATTGTACAAGTGATATGCCTTCGCGTGTGCTACTAATAAATTCTTAGCACACAAATACTCTGCGTACCCAGACATGTTATACAAAGGTGCCATTGAAGCTCCAGCATAACCTTGATAACAAACTTCTCTCGGCTCGTTTATTGTGAACCAGAATTTTACTCTATCTCCAAAGGCTTCGAAGGCAATCTTTGCATAATCAGTGAACCAGTCAACTACATGTGGGTTCGTCCAACCACCGAGATCCTGCAATTTTTGGGGTAAATCCCAATGGTACAGGGTAATCATTGGCTCTATGTTATACTTAAGCATTTCGTTGATTAAATTATTGTAGTAGTTTAAGCCAGCTTCGTTGACTTGGTCTGAGAAACTTGTCGGTAAAATTCTTGGCCAGGATAGAGAAAATCTGTAGAAATCGAGTCCAAGTTCTCTCATCATTTCTACGTCTCTCTTATAGTTGTAGTAGGAATTTCCAGCAATGTCGCCAGTATCACAGTTTTTTACTGTGCATGGTCTCGCATGTGTCAAACGATCCCAGATGCCTTCGGCCTTTCCTAAAAAAAAATGGTAAAGGTAGTGCAGCAGTGGTGGGCAGCAAAGCAAAGGTAAGCAGTGGCGAAACAATAGGGTGGCAGAGCTGGCAAAATGCCAAAGGCAGTCGACCCAAGAGGGCCCCTGCCCAAATTATTATCTTCTATGAATGAATGTGAAGTCTCCAATACGCATTGGGCTAGCGTGGGGACTAAAGACCATTCCCTCTCGCCTAAGAGAGGAGGCCTATGGCCATTAATGGGACTGAAAATCTCAAAGTTTATTAAAATTATACTGAGTTTCTATAAATCGTATAATTTTAATGATTGATGATTGATGAAATGACGTGATGATTTTTACTGATAGGGCCCCATTGAAAGAATTTGCCACTGGCCCCAGATGGTATAAATACGCCACTGGTAGCTACTTGCATAGGGCTTCAATAGATATTCAGTAAGACTTTAACAGAAATGATTGGAAACTAAAATCGGTTAATATACTTCCAAAATCATATTTGTGAACATTTCTTACCGTCATCATTCCAAGCTCCTTCTACTTGGTAAGACGAAGTGGCTGTGCCAAATAGAAATCCTTCTGGGAACTTTCTTTTTTCATGGCGAATATTTTTTAAATCTTTTCCATATGATAGGGCAATAATCAGGACCAAACTAAAACGGATAGTAATAATTAAGTAACAAAATTACGTTACGTGTAAACAAAGTTAAGCATAATTAAATATGAAGTATATACATTTACTAGAAATTGTTTGCGTAGTACTTACTCTCATTTATTTAATAGTTAAGAAGATGCTTAAACATTATTTAATCGTTACTTTTACTTACAAGAGTCCTGTTAATCGAGCCATCGTTTCGCTTTTGAAACAGTGCTTTAATAAATGTAACAGATTCTTTTATATAATAGGTAGGTATCTGTGAGATAATTTTATAGATATATTTCCATGATGGACATATCTAAATCTAATGTATAAAAACACGTGTCTTATTATTAATAACTCGTCAAGAAACTCGTTGATACTATTAATTAAGATTATTTCCTGTATTATGTTTGTATTCACTAAGAAAAATTTAATAAATACACAATACAATCAACCAAAATTCCACCCGTATCACCTCGATGTCTGTCGTTCCACAACTGAGCGTTTTTAAGGCAGTTTTTGCCGCGTACTACCACTGTGTGGAACCAGCTGGCCACTGAAGTATTTTTTTAAGAATTAATTAAGAACCAATTCGACTTAGGGTCCTTCAAGATAGGAGCTTACCAATTCTTAAAAAGGCCAACAACGAACTTGCGAGTTCCTGGCAGTGACAGTGTCTATGGGCAGTGTTATCACTGAACATCAGAAGAGCCTCCGGCCCGTTTTCCCCCTGTTATATAAAATAAAATAATATTACAATATTTTGTATACAGATAAGTACTTCCAGATATCTTCTAACACAAGTATTAACTTCTTAATAATATATTTCATTTCTAATTGAATATTATTAATTCTGGGTAAAAAACGGTTAATCTCGATTTCCGGCAAAACTAATAATAAAAAGAATTTTTTTTGTTTTTTTTTTTTTTTTTTAAGAATCAGCTACCGAAGAACAGGCAAATATGGCAAAGATGTAGGTAACAAAACTTATATCCGACGCATGGGGGACACCCCCGCGCAAAGATCAAACTTTTGTATTCACACATTTCACATAAGTTTCCTCAAATCATTGTATTGTAACAGAGAAACAGCTGTTTAATTAAAAACGAAGTTTTTGGTTCTCATGTAAATTTCTAGCTCTTTTACAACATTTCTTTTTTTTCCCCAATACGAAATTTGGTGAATAACTTACCTTATTTATTTCCCAAATCATTTACTATAAAGGTAACACAATTTACACTTTGAACTTAAAAATAAATTTATGAAATTTTTCATTTTATTTTGAATTAATATCGAAAAATCCCACCCCGTCTAATTTTCAATCGAAAATTCCGATATGACGTCAAAATTTGCAGCAGTAAATTTTATACATACAAAAGTTTATCATTTGAAACCACAGCCGCGCTTGCAATTGAAATCTCAAATACAATTTCACAAATCTGATGCGGTAAAAAATTGTCCAGTATATATTACCATACCAAAAGTCTTCTCATAGAAACTTATGCCAAACCATCAACAGTATGCAGTAACTCCCAGGTCAATTTTTGACCCGTCATACCCTTCACTACGATAGGCAGGTTATGTTCTGGGGTCTCGATCTCGAGTAGCCCGGAATCTGAGGTCTTGAATGAGCTCTCTATGTCGGATAAGCGTGGGTGTCTTGGGTAGAATGCCTGGCGAACCCCGAGGGCCCATCTTAAGGGCGTGTGAAGGGCTGAGGATCTGAGTGTAGACCCAGCCCACAGTCCCCGTGTCAAGCTGGACATCATTGCCGCGGGCCTGCGTAAACGCATGTTCACCTCAATTAAAAAGATGAGGTTATGTTATATATTTTAAAGAATTAACATTCCTTTAATACCCCCCATAAATGTTATCCCTTATCAAGAATAACAAAATTATATAATATTTTATCTCATCTTGTATTTGTTTGGGGTTATAAGATAAAGTTCTCTGAAAAGATACATAATCTTTGATATAAGTTGAGTGTTTTTTTTAAAGTACTGATTATTCGATATTTGTACAGAAATAATATTGACTTGAGATCTGTCTTTTTGGATGGATGTTAATGATAAAGAACGATTAAACGTTTATTTCTTAAAATTTAAGTTCTTATAAAATAACAAATAAATAAAATAAATCAGTGGCGCTACAACCTTTCTAGGTCTGGGCCTCAGATTTCTGTATCTATTTCATGATCGTTTGTCAATCTAATAGGCAAGTAGGTGATCAGCCTCCTGTGCCTGACACACGCCGTCGACTTTTCCGATCTAAGGCGAGCCGGTTTTCTCACGATATTTTCCTTCACCGTTCGAGCGAATGTTAAAAGCGCACATACAAAGAAAGTCCATTGGTGTACAATCGAACCTACGACCTCAGGGAAGAGAGTCTCACGCTGAAGTCGATAAGGTCTGCTCTAGTCGTACATGAAACAATGTTTAATATTTGAAATTGAACAAATTGAAGAGCGTACCATTATGGCGCATCTAAACGGGCCATGTTTTGCTGCAATTGATGGCTGCAACACTGTGGCCCGGCAACATTGCAAACACTAGCAGCCACACTATGCAATATGACAGTAATGTCCCGGCCATACAGCCAAACATGTTTTGTATAGCCACATATGGCCGATGTTGCCCCGATGGGTTGCCGGACGATCACTAGGCTATCGAATTCAACTGCAATATTGCACAGCCAGTTCTATTGTTGTTTCAGTCACTCTCTTTGTTATGGCACAGTGTATCCTTTTCTACGCGACATGAAGTTTGCTGAGTGAAGTGTGCCTGTTGCTATATTCTGTGTTTTGCGATCAGCTGCATTTTGACGTTAGGCTACTCCGTAAAAATGACTGCTACGTGGTCTAACGAGACAATTACTGATTTCATTAATGAAGTACATTTACACCCTGAGTTGTGGGATATAAAAACCGGCATATACAAAGATAGGAATGATAAAAAAGATGCATGGAATGAAATTGCTGAAATGTTTGGCATAACAAGCAACGAGGCTTACAAAAACTTATTTTTATTTTTGGTCCAATTTTGTTTAAAAGAAAGTCGAAGTCGCCTTTTGACATTCTAGTAAAGTTCTTGAATAATTTATTATCAAGGCTTATTTCTAGACTCAAATTGTCTACAGTTTCACGCCTATTTAAGTAAGGTCGAATCCACAATCTCTTCTTTTTTTAAACAATATAAGCTGCTGCGACAAGTTTGATTTCGTCAGCCTTGTTGCCGGTTATTAGCCTAGAGTGCCATGGGCCATACTATTGCAGACATTTGCAACATTGCAGCCATAATGTGGCATCAAAAATATTTTTGTAATGCAGGCCAATTCGTTGCCAACAGTGCAGCATCAATTGCAGCAAAACATGCCCCGTTGGCGCCATTACCTAAAGGCCAGCAACAGGGTGGCTTATCACCAAACTCTAAGTGGCCTCTTAGTTTGCCTCCTGTCAGATAAAAAAGACACAAATAAAATACTAAATCTTAGATATGAAAAGAATTGGCACTCTTTTGATACCAAGAAATACATGATAACCCCTATCAAGAAAACAAAATTATATAACATTTTATCTCATCTAAAAAAAACAACTAAATACATAATCTATTATATAAGTTGAGTGGTTTTTGACAAGAAAATCTTCATGATAAAGAGTGATTAAATACGTTTATTCTTAAGATTAAAGTCCATATATAATACAAAAAATAATATTTGCGGATTATAAGCAATATATATATTATTGGCTAATAAACTATCTCTTTCAAGCCAGCAACACGAATGAAGTAATCTTGAACAAATTGAAGAGCGTACGTAATAAATTGTTTATTTAAGAATTTCATTGAAAATTCGATCTAGTAAAGTAAATATAAAAGATAGGTTTTTAAGGGAAACTTATAATTATATTATAAGGTTGAAGAGTTTGTAATATGAACACGCTAGTAACTATTGAAAAGAATCTGTGTTGGTTATAAAACAATATTCGTATGTGAAATAGTATTCTTTGAATTGTTATCTTTCCCGATGTTACTTAACCATTGAGCCGGAATTACATTACGAAATTAGTCGCATGCATGTGATATCAGTTTCACGAACGTAGTTCGAAATTATTTCGCATATATCGAATAATACGAAGTAATTTCGTAAAATAATTAGTGTCGTGAAATCCACAGTATCGCAGTAACCATGGCCCCATCGGCATCAAAGCAATATTATTCTATATTCATTGTAGCTAAAGAGATGCTTCTCTATAAACTTAAAAAAAGAAGTTGGTGGATTCGAGGATGGTTAATAAGAATGGACTTGGTTGCAATGAAGTTAGTCTCTGAATTAGCAGATGAAGATTCTGAGAGCAAGCTATAAAAAAATATTTTCGAATGAGTGAAGATAATTTTAATTCTTTACTGAGAAGAGTGTCTAACAAAATTTCTAAACAAGATAGATATGTCGAGAAGCGTTAAAAAACTTAACCTTCAAATTACGCTGCGTGTTTTATAAACTAGTTCCAGTTTTAAGTACTTATCATACGAATTCAGGGTGGCATCAAAATACATACGTCCACATAGCACAGACGCTTTCGCGACACTAGTTTCACGTCGCATCCCCATCATGAAATTAGTTGCATGAAACTAATTTCTCCAAAATATCGCGCAGAGCACGAAACTCATTTGCATTCATGAAAATAATGCATGCATTACGAAAATATTGAATTACATGTGTAAGAATACAACAAAAACTACTTCACCCCAACCTCTGCTATGCATCGATAAAACTGTTCATTGACAACGATTTCACACAACGACCTGAAAACGTGAGCTTCCGATATTGAAATTAATTCATTTGTTTTTGTTGTGGTAAAAATGTCACAGTGTCGTGTAACGTGGCAACGGATTTGCGGTGAACCAAAAAACAAAAGGAACCGAAATATATAATTGATTGTTTGGATATGGCCTGACAAGGGATAAGTCTAAAATGTCCGGTAAGTGGTTTATTGTATTATTATATTAATATATATAACTAGTAGGGCCATAACTGTCACTACACATTGTGAAGTCTTTATTTTCCACAGTGGCGCATGATAAAAGAATCAGGCATACATTCAATGGCTTAGCTTTATGGATCTTGGCTACACATTGCAGCATATGTTGATATTTTTTTTTTTAGTTTCTCCTACTAAACTACGCTAAGTCTTACTCCCGTATGTAATAAATGTA